CAATATGACAGCTATCCAGATGGCTTACTGTTACCCTTATCTTATAAGGAGACAGCTACCTTTTTCTTTTTCTTTTTTTTCTTCCAAAGAAGAGAGGTGATCTGTTTCCTGATCTCTTTCTTTATGTTGGTATTCATTCAGTGCAGGGACTCTGCTGTTATGAAAGAGTCATGTGTGACAGAGCAGCAGAATAGTATGTTTGTTGAATTCATATATATGATAAAAGGTTTTATTTTGTAGGTCTAATGTTTGCAGTACTCGTGTTGTGACACTCAAGGTTATTAATAGTTTTTCTTCATATGAATTTGGGAACCAAAATATTACCTGTAACTGCTTCTGTATTTATATGTTTCCATGTTCCTGGATATAACATGCATGTATTTCCAAATTATTACTGGATTGAGTTTTTCTTGATGTGAGAATTCTATGAACTCTTTGTATATGTGCTTTGATCTTCTCTTTTAAGAATGGGTTCTTGTATTTGCAACCAAGTTCGTATTTGGTCTCTCTTTCTCCCACTTTTGTCCTAGCTTGGGAGGGAAGGTAGACAGGAAAGAAGTGGAGACCCAAAAGATTCACTCCCATATGGTGGGTCAAAGCCCACCAAATCGGATTTGATAACTGTATTAAAACACAAACATCTTTTTGCCAGCATATGTGCTTGAGTGATGAATTTTATGAATGGGAGCAGATGTAAATACTGTCTTAAAACATGTTGTGGACAGTGCTGATGTTCCTTTTTTCCATCTGGTATAAAAGGAAGCTGCAAACAATGGCAACCATGCCTTTGTTCTTCTGCTTTCCCATTCTTTTTCTTCATAATATGGAGCTAAAATAATTGTCAGTTTTGGCTTTAGCTTTTCTGGTCAAAATTGCCCTATTTTTGCTATCTGTTTCACAGTCTTACTGCTGCCCTAAAGCTGCGCTTTGATACCTGTGATTACTTAAAAAGTCATGACCATATTGTAGCAAAGTCCATTTCTCTTAGTTCTAGATAAAAATAAAATAAATAAAATCTTGGAAATTAAAACAGAGCTTTTTCATTTGTTGGAATAAATACTTTTTTTAGTGTGGTTTCCTGAAGAAGGGAGGCTTACAGGATTAAGCCGTTTGTCCATCTGCTTTTCAGTTCATTCTTAATAACTTTTGAACAACTTCATCCAGATTTGATGGGGAGTAAAAAGTCTTAAAGGTGTCTGGTTTCCTACACGGAAACTGGAGGCTGGGTGGAGGAGAGAGACAAAAATAGGTGTCCCCACTATCTGTAGCATAAGTTTAACGATAATCTGTGTTTAGGCTTTTGCTAGCCAAGTTGCAAGTATGTACTGGCTACCTAGGTACTGCAGTAATCTCAGTTTCCAGAGTGTGTTACTGAGTCTCACTTAGGCAGAAGCTGAGGGGCCATGAAAGGGAGACAAGGGCAAAGAGGATGTTGCTGGGGAACCACAAATTTTAGGGAAAGGATGAAATCAATGAAAAATGGGGTTATTGGACCTATCAGTAGTTTTATGATTTAATGGACCAGCTTGCTTTCAGATTCTGTATGGTACTCCTGCAATTTGTTGATCTCTGACTATCAGAGATTTGTCTGTTAAGGGTGCATCTGTGGTGTTTGCCTGGCTGTGAAATAACCAAAATGTAAGAAAGCATTTACATTGTGCTCAGAGAAACTCAGCATTCTGAGGTGGAGCCAGGCAAATGTTTTATACACTCAAAATGCTGTTTTAAGCTAGACAGAGCAGACTGTGAATTTAGATGCAATTAACTCAGTAGTTTCAGATGGGGAAAAAAATGGAGGAGAATGCTGGAAAATGCATTCACATAATATTTATTTTTCTAGGCTCAAGTCATTAGTTGAATGAGCACTTTTAACAAAATCAGAATGGAAAGTATAGGGGGGAATGTGACTCCTATAATGGGGGTTTATTTGCCTGGAATATAGGAGCCCTGCATTTGTAATGCTTTCTGCAGGAACTTGAATTTGTACAACCAAATTCATTATGTGTGTCATTTCAAAATCTCTTCCTGTCTTTTTGTATTTGAGGTAGGGCACTGGACTTTTTTTCATATGTGCATTTGGTAAAATATTTTATATTCTTGCATCCGTGGTGAGTGTGTGAGGGAACCACTACCACCATTTATTCATTGCCTCTGTCTTTGTTTTTCATTGGTTTCTTTTGTCCTGGGCAAGTGATGGAGATCCTGAGTGTACTTGTAGTCATTGTCAGTGACAACCTTATGCTATTATTGTAAATAGCAACACGAACACTGTTCTTGCATGCACTTTTTCACGGGCTTTGTCTTTCTCTCCCAACACTCCAGCCAAAGAATTTACAGAGCTTTTGAGTCAGCAATCAGCTGCCTCGAGACAAAACATGCAGGATACTGCAGACTTGCAGAATAGCCAGCAAGGCATACAAATACCCTGGAAACCTGGCAAATAATTCTTGCCTGCCCTTGCTTTCTTCCTGTATTTCCATGTTCTCTGACGTTATGCTTGCAGCTTCCAAGGACTTTGGGTGTTTCCATCAAGAATGCAGAGTTCTGGGGAGTGACTTACTGCGATGACTAAAGCCTCTGTATTTGACCTGTGGGCATAACTGACTTCACAGCCTGCATGAAATGGGATGTCGGCAGAGCTGCTAAATTAATGTGCTGCTTGGGTTGCGCTGCATAAAATGACCTGCTTTTGTGGGTTTGTCTCGTGGCTTGGCAAACCTTGAACACAAAGCAGCAAGTTCCTAGAATGAAAGTAGGTTGGATTTTGACTTTGGGATCTCTCTGAGCAGTGCAGAACCTGTACTGCTTAATTTCTTTGGTGAAAAAGTACGAGAGAAGCAAGAGTATGGAACCTATGTTGTCTTTACATTTGGATATATCTGTAATGGTCTGTGGACTAACAGACTTAAATGGCCCCTCCACTTAAATTAAGTCATAACTTCTGTTGCTTTTTCTTAGGAAGTGTTAAGTCACTTGAAGGGCTGTTGTAAATGAGCGGGTGGTAGAGTGAGATGCAAGAGATAGGGGAAATAGAACACAAAATAGTATTCAACTTATGCTGATTAATGAGGCACATAACTCTAGACTGTATGTAGGTATTTTATTGTGTATGTATTACACAGATGCACTGAAATTACTCCTAAGCGTAAGAGGTGATTGTTGGAGCTCTTTATAACATTCTGCTTAAGAACACAAGAGGAGACAGAAGCTTAATGCAGTGTCCTAGACCTCTGCGGTAGTGTGGTGGTTACCCTGAGGTGCAAGCCTGGAGTGTGTTTCCATCTTTACAACAGTGAATTTAAGATTAAAAATAAAGAAACCAGTTAGTTCCATCCTGCTTAGTGAGCAGTACTGATACGGACATAGCATCGCTATCAGCCAGTTAGAAAAACAACTTAATGTGTAGTGAGTCCTCTAAGGCAGTCATAATGAAGTCACAATCACATTCTCCAATATAACCTATTGTTGTACTGTGGCTTCTGTAGGAAATTTTATTTTTAATAAAAAACAATTTGTGGCTATATGTAAAGCTTTCTCGGTCTCCATTGCTATTTCTAAATGTAAGTATAAATACCATGTTAGGGTGAAATGCAGGAGTGCCCAAATAAGCAGCTGCAGACCTGTCATATGGGAGGGGAAGAGACATGAGCTGTAATGTTTGACTTGGCTTCCTGTCTGCTGGAAGCAGGAAAAGAGCTGGTGAGAATCTAAAAGGTTTTATCCGAGTCCACATATTTCCTTTTTTACCTTAATACCCTTTGCAAAAAAACAAAGGACGAAAAGCACCTCAGAAATGCTTTCATTTCCATAGTTCCTGCATATGTTCCCATAATGCCTGAAGAACTATTCTTAGAGAGCAGTCTATTATATACATTTACTAAGCATTATGTATAAAAGGAAGAAAGAGATTTGTTATATATAAAAGAGAAAACAGGAGAGAAAGTATCTATTCTTTAAACAGAATCTGCTATTTGTAATCCAAACAATTCTGTAGGTCTGCAGGGTCCTTCTGAGGGATCCTAGAAAAGCAACTGAAAGCAGCAGACCTCCTGTTAGCATATTTAATCTGCTGAGGACCCCAACTACCACCTAAAATTTTGTAGGGACCTGCATATCAAAAGAAGTTGAAAACCACAGAATAAAGGAACTACCATGAGAATCTCATGAGGATCATGCATGAGCCACATTTCACTCTTAAACTGCTTGCTTACTGACAGGAATATATGCATAGTCTCTAGATAAGGCATATGTTTATACTGGTTGATGCAACACAGACAAACATTTTTTTTACAGTCTTGACATCTTAAGGATTTGATTGCTATTAGCAAGTTTAACTTCTTTCTAGGATCGCAGTAGCCATCACTGAGTTTGTTACGTTACTATACAAAAGCAGTGCTTGCACGGACACTGATGGAGGTATTAGGCTGTGCTGTGCCATCCTCTTTCCTCTTCTCTACTTATCACAAGTAAAGACACATGTGCTTCTAGAATGAAGAAACCAAAATTTATTTTACTGGTGAAATACCAACTCATGAAGTACTTTGTGGTAGTAGTGCTTTTAAGACCAGCACTTAATCGTTACTGTGGTGTTACCACACTGATCTGGTTATCATGGTGACTTCTACATTAGTAAGGCTGTGTCTTTTGTTTTAAAATCTCTGCCTACTTACAAATATCACATGTAACACCTGCCAGTTAGTTCACTTGTAACTTTTCTGCTGTTCATGTTAAATGAGTTTTGATAAAACTTTCTAGGGACTGGCTCAGGTTAAAGTATTTTGTGATTTAATGGAGGTGAGATGTTCCACTGTCTGCAACGAGGGTCTGTGAGCTTCAGTCAGTTTGGGCAGGAATCCTCAGGCTATTGATAGTTGACTGACTTAGGACTGATGTGTTACTAGTTACTGAGAGTCTGGGCTCTCTGTTCAGCAGGTTTAGACAAAATTTTGGAAATTAAAAAAAAAGAGCAAGTTCAGTTACATTTTCTTTTTATTTTCTAGGTTAATAATGCTTGTAAGCCAGAGGTGAAAGTGGCTCAGCAGAACAACATCCAGAAATCTGGCAGACTGGAAGAGAACAGCTGCCCCCCAGGGCAGATGTGGAGTGTGAAGCATGGAAGAAAGCAAGAATGAGAGGGTGAACCAGGCTCATGTTCTCTTTGACAGATTTGTTCAGGCTTCAACCTGTAAGGGGACTCTTAAAGCTTTCCAAGAGCTCTGTGACTACCTAGAACTAAAGCCCAAGGACTATCGTTCTTTCTATCACAAACTCAAGTCCAAGCTCAATTACTGGAAAGCCAAAGCCTTGTGGGCCAAATTGGATAAAAGAGGCAGCCATAAGGACTACAAGAAGGGGAAAGCATGCGCCAACACGAAGGTAAGAAAATTATTCATGGTGGTCAAGACAACTGTTAATGCAGTTTGTCTTTGGAATACACAATAAAAATGTCTGGATGTAGAAAGACGTTTTCCTGGTGTCAGTATAAGCCTAAGAAAGATTCAGGAATGTTCTCACACATACTATTTATAATATAGTTGCAATTTGTTAGCATTTGTCCAGCAATCAAAAATTGCATTTGCTACTACTAAATTTGACTGCCCACCTGAATAAAGGAAGCTAAATGGAAATCCTTGAGAATGACTAGAATATTTGTAATTTATTCAGGAGAAGCTGCCTGCAGGTTTCCATGTTTTATGTTTTTGTGGCATCAATACTATAGATGGCTTAGAAAATCTTAACTGGTAAACCTTTAATCTTGGTAGGCTTTTCTTTTTTTACATTTTTTACCAAACAATAATAAGCACGTGAAATTTGCTGTTGGAGTTTAGGTACAAAATATCTGTTTGGAAGTTTCCAGTTTTAATTTGAAAATTCTCATGACTCTCAAGAAAAGTGAACTTTCCTGTCAATTTGGCAAAATATTCTATTTACCATTATTTAGAAATTAATCACTTGTATTCCAGGTTCAGCGGAGGAAAAAAAGTGCTGTGGAAACTCATACCAGTTCCTTTTGAAAGGTTGATATGTGTGGTATTTACTGCAGGAATTCCTGCTTTTACACACACACCAATTTTTTTTTACCTGAATTATTGTGAGCTGGTATGTGCTGCACCCTTGCTGGACTGTACAGTAGATTTTGTTTGTTTTGTAGTTACAGAAAGCAGTCCTTTATATCATTCATCACAATGTGAATGGAATAGGTTGTTTTTGCAAATTAATTGTACACTCTTCTTTTTTTTTTTTTAAAAGGAAGATTGTGTGGAATATTATAACATTAGAACAGGATTCTGTCATCATTCATTGAGGACAATAGATGCTACTGCTTCTTTTGAATATTTACCTTTTGGGGGAAGGAAATAACAGGAGGAATTAATGACTAATTCCTCAGTAGGGAACTGAGGGGAAAATATATCCTGTTTAGGATATGTCAGTCATTCCTGATCTATGGACTGAAGTTTAATTCCAACTAAATATTAGAAATTTATAATAGTTTATTCATGGTTTATTCTTTTTCACTTTCCGGTGGCCATTTTCATATGGATGATGGCATTTATAAATAATTGCTGCAATAAAACTTGGAAAAATTACTAATGGACCAAGGTGCACTTGTCCTAGGTCTTGTAAAGATAACACTTTCCTCAAGAAGTTCACAATTGGTACATCAGATGATAGCAGGTGCATATAGATTAACTTTGAGAACAATAAAACAATTAGACACTGTTGGTAATCATGGTTGGTGGTATCTTCAACACCCCAAAAGTCCAATCACTGTTAAGGTTTACATTTTTCAGTCAGCGTATAAAGGAAGGACTTAGGGGAGGATAAATGTCATGGAGAAAAGTTCAAAATTGTTTTTCTGAAAACTCTACTGCAATCCACATTTAATTGGATTCAGGAATTGCTCTTGTTTTGAATGAAACAGGATGGGTAGAGCTGAAATAGGGTGTTAAAGGCTGTGAAATGAAGACAGTTGGCTTATGTTTTAATGAGAAAGACATTGAGGAAGCTGTGGAAGAATGTAGAGGTATTTTAACTTGAAGAAATAGACTAAAACAGTGATTTTGCATTTGGGTTCTGAATATATCTAAGTGAGCAAGACTTCTAACACTGGTTACAAAGATTACTTTGATAGTAAAGGTGCAATGTGAAAGAAGAGATTTAGTGGAAGAATAAGTGTATAACTTGGATAGTGCTTGATCATGACAATGTACAAAAAAATAAATATGAGTGGAGGTTGACGTCCAGCTATGAAAGACATTTCAGAAAATTGTGATGCTTGTCTGGAAGGAACTGGTGCAGTGAGTTTAGAAGTACGTTAGAGCTCCATTTTTCTGTTGGACTTGAACTAGGTAGCCATGAGGAGATGTAAGAAAGGTAGAGAATTTAACATGGACAAAAAGTAGTCAACTCTGAGTTGGAAAAGTTCTGTGAGTCTACCACACTGATAAGCTGATTGAACCAGTACCTGTGAATGAGGTGATGCAAAGGCAAATTGTAGAGGAAGATGATGGACAACAGGTGAAGCCCTGTGGGAAGTTGGCAGTGACAGGAGTGGGAGAAATGAGGGAAGTCCTTCAGATAGTGCTCTGAAAGAAAAACTGGGGACATAGAGGAGTACTGAGTCTTAAAAGAAATCAGAAAGGGACATGCTTTGAAGAAATACATGTAGCCAACTGTCTATAAAACATCTCTTCAAGTGCAGTTGAAAAGTGGGTAAAAGGGGTAAAGCATACAGGGAGAGATATCTGTGCTAGAGATTTTGTATAGTGCAAAAGCTTAGCCTATTTTATGTACCAAAGCCAGGCTAGAGAGAGTGTAGGATGGAATTGGAGAAATGGGATCAAGAGAGTAATTGTCCAAGTGTCATGTAGTGATCTTGGAGAGGCGATAGTGGTGAGATAAACAGAGAGGCTCACAGGGTCATACATGACGCTCCCTCGTTTAATGGTGAGCTAGAAACCTCAGAACTTGCTGGTGTTGGTTTGAAGGACCAGAAGGTGGGAGGGGAGAATTGTAACAACATACATGTCAGTGATCACTCTGAATTGGTCTCTGCTAGGGGAATGGGAGGGCTTATTCAATAGCTGCTCTCATGTGTGAATGACAAGGAGAAGAAATGAGCAAAGGAAAAGAGGAAGAGGGGTGGAGGCAAGCCAGAGAGTAATGTGCCAGTCTTTCTAAGAATTTGTTGGTAAGATGCTGTATAGAAAAACAAGATAAAAGGGTGGGAAATAAATTAAAGGTGGCCCAACCCAGAAACATACAGGACTGTGGATTTAGGATTCACACTATTTTGAGTAGTAAAATTAGTAGTTGAGGAAAAAGTGAAATTTAGGTGGGGGTTGTTTGGTTTTTTTGTTAGTATGTCTTAAAGACTATATATCTGTGACGATAAATGATCTTTGTATGCCTTTACATATAAGCTTCGTTGAAAGTTTTAATGTAAAGAAATGATAAATATATGTATTGGTTTTATGTTTTTCATACATGTTTCTGTTAATTACTCGTTTCCTATTCTAATAGTATCTGCCATTAAATGTTTATATGTGATTCCTAAGAGATAAGCATAACTAGTCAAAGTAGAGGCCTTTTGAGAACTGAATCACATCTGATTTGATATTTTCTGTAAGTTTTATATTCCTAATGTTTAATGTAATTTGCAAACTACTGATTAAAAAATATAGAAATTTACATGGGCATGTGAAGATGATAGAATTTAAAATAAAGATTAGGGGCTTACCCATTTTATCAGAACAGAAGTCAGTCATTTCTGTATAGAAATCTCAGCTTCTATACACTTGAACATAAACCAGTTTTGAAGTTCTCATCCTCTGTAGCATAACTCTTACTTGCCCATTGAAAAATAGATCAGGGATGGAGTACTGTGACTGGAGTTAGGCAGTGAGTGCATCACATGGCCAGGCTCCAGGTTAACTAGAACTCAGATAATCAGCGTTCATGAAAGCAAGACTAGAGCAGTGATGGCTTGTTCAAATGTAAATAGTTACAAATGGTGCTCTCTCTTAATTGGTTATACAGAATACAGTTTGCATTTAATGTTCCATTACCATGGTGTTACTGACAACTTAACAGTCTGAAAGATCTTGAGCAAGAAGCATTTCTGAGGGGTGAGTCAGCTTTAGTGCATGGAGTTGCTTGGAGTTATAGAGGGGACAGGGAACAAGGAACAACAGTAGCTGGCCTTTATTTACTTGCTGTCTCATGTACCTTATTGCTGCCTTTGAGAGCATCAGAGGGCAGGTTTCTATGAGAGATCTGAAACTGGAAGAAGCGTTAGAGGTGGAAAAGGGAGCAGAATCTCTCTTTTTGTTTCAGTTGTGCTTAGAACTTTCTGTGGTTTATAACAACATAATTTAATATTTTTGTGACAGTAAAAAAATAAAAGTCCATGAATTACTTCACTGATTATCATCCAGAACATCTATAGTCTTAAACATAACCTAGATATTGTTAACAACATCCTTGTTTTGGGGGTGAGGGGAAGGTTGTAGAGAAAAAACAGGTTTTACATTTCTGTGGCAAAAGTACAGGCAATAAATTTATAATTAGATTATGTAGATTTGAGTTTGAATAGTCTGATTTTAGTACAATTCCTCTGCTGTTGTGTACTCCATAGTAACTGTTTTATACTGGGAAAGTTACCAAAGAATAAACATCACCCAACTCAGTATGGTCTTGTTGCTTATTGAATCCAGTCTCTTTGAAGATTGTAGTTGTCAGATGAGCAAAATTATTACCTGGATAAATATGATATGCTCAGCTAATTTTCTTGAAAGTTTTAAAACCAGAAAGACTTAAGTTGCGTTTGAGAGTTGTACCTACCTACAAATAAAACAATATTAAATTGGAAGAGTGTTTTGATCTTAATTGATTATCCCTTTTAAAAAATGACAAGTTGGACTCCTCTTCAATATACAAGTCTATTTAGGAGTTTGATAGCACAGTGGCTGGACTTGCCTTTTCTCTCGTATGCCTTCAGGTTACTAAAGCTATTAAAGAAGCAGTGCTAATATTCTTCCCTTTCCTCCAGACTTGGATCTCTGCCTTCAGATTTGTGTGACTTCTCACTACAGTAGTTCTATCTTGAATTTACATGTTGGTTGTTATGTCATCATTGCTGTAACTTGTAGTGTTGTATTCATCATTCAGGCTTTGTATTTCCATTTCACATTATTTGCAGAATTTATGCCCCAGTGAATAACGGGTCAAAATGTGCTGACCTCTAAAAACTGGCATATGGGGATGGCAAATGAACAAAGAGCTTTGCTTTGGGATAGGCTGTTTGTCAAAAGGTTGGACTATGGTTAAGTTTTAGCATGCTTGAGCATTTCTCAGAGAGCTTTCTTGTCCAGCCTTAAGGGTATTTAAGGATCTGCCATCTCACATGGCAGCAGCAGTCACTGCTGTAGCAAGGTCTTGATTCTGTGGGTTTGGTTTATACTGAGTCGAAATCAAAGTGCAAAAATGATATGACAAAATGAACTGTGTACTATATTTCTGTGAATGCATGTTCACATGCCAGCTTTCTTTGTTAACCTCAGTCTCTGTGGGTAAGAAGTGTCAACTGACTATCTTGGCTTTTTAATCTTAAAAGAAACAATCTTGCTGTTTCATTTGTTTCTCAGAAAGTACTTCCAACATTAGATATGAAAGTATTTTACATTCTCAAGTCGTTTATTAGCCTCTGATAGCATTTGTGAGTAGAGTGGAAAAAGATATGAAAAGATGAAAGACCTTTGATATGACAAAGGTTAGGTTGAAGAAAACATATTTTGATAAAAGTTGTCTAGTCACAGAGTTTGTATTTACATTGTTTACTTCCCTGAAGTTTCTTTTGCTGCAATGGTAGAAGCACCAGCATAGGCATAAAACTTGACTGCTCTTTGTACTACTCTAAAAGATGATGTTTGTAAAAACATTAGCATCTCATGTATTTATTTTCTGTAGCCATTGCTGTGCTGCTACTCTCTGATGAGGAATTTTTAGTGTTACTGAAGATTTTCTCAAGAAAGGCCAGCTCAGGCTTTGGAAGATGAGAGGAAAACTTGTCATCACCTTTTTTGTTTGTTTGTTTGTTTTTTAAGAAAAAAATCAGTGGATGTAATGTGGAAAGGAGAAGCCTTCAGACACATTGCTGTTCTCCAGGTGCTTACATAGCTTAGATAGTACACCTTGGCAACTCTTCTTAAAACAAGCGTTTGCAGACAGTTTACTTGCCTGTTTCTCCAAACTTTTCACTGCTCTGTGATACACTTTTTATTTTCAGGTTGCAGTTACTGCTTCAACGTATCAGTGGCAGAATGTGGCAGGTAACAATAGCGAGACTGATCTGGAATTTCAGCTTACATTGCAGACAAAGAGCACTTACTCCTAAGAGCCATGGGATGCTTGGAAGTGGTAAAAATATCTATTTCCTCCTAGAACTGTCAAGTTACTCTGTGCTGGTTGTTTTGCAGTGTCTGATAATTGGGGCTGGACCCTGTGGCCTTCGTACAGCCATCGACCTGTCATTCCTGGGAGCCAAGGTGGTGGTCGTAGAAAAGAGGGATGCCTTTTCCCGCAATAACGTGCTGCATTTGTGGCCATTCACCATACATGACTTGAGGGGTCTTGGCGCCAAAAAGTTTTATGGCAAATTCTGTGCAGGATCCATAGACCATATCAGTAAGTACAGCTGCTACTGGACACAGCAGCACTTGTTCTTCACAGGGGAAAAGTAGGTGAGAGTGTGGGGTAACTCATTAAAATTCAGCCTACACTGATCACTGCTCTCGAGTCCTTAGAGCACAATTCAGCATTACCTTTGCATTTTGGGCTAGACCTAGATGTGAAAGAAATACATTGCATCATGAGATTATCACACATGCAATATATATCTGTTGTCTTTTATACCTTTTCAAGGAATATCTTCTTCCTACACTGAAAAGTACATTTAAGGTTCAAACCTGTGTTGTGTTTTGGTTTGGTTTGTATTTTTTCTTAAAATGGATAATTTTCCTGGTTTTGCTGTTACATTCCTGCAGCTGTCACATTATTCTCTTTCTCTTGAGCATTGTAAGTGAAATTGTAAAAAATAAAAATTACTGAATGCTTTTGATCATTCTCATGAGTGTTGATCTGGAAAAAGGAGGAAGAATTTTGGCTTTGTTAATTTTTGGAAGAGCGATGTTTTCCAGAACACTGTCAGCCTGTGAATATGTTTTGATTAAATAGAGGTTTACTTATTTAAATTAAAAATAGTTTTGATGAATCTCAAAGTCTGAGAAATCAGTCTCCTTTGAAAGCTGAATGCTTTGGTGGAGCAGGAGTTACTATTTTTCAGGATTGTGGTGTGGTTTGTTGTTGTGTGGGTTTTGTCTATTTTTCAGGATTGTGGTGTGGTTTGTTGTTGTGTGGTTTTGTTTTTTTTTTTTTTTTTGGTTTTGTTTAGTTTTGTTTTTTTTCCCCAAAAAATTTACTGGACGTGGCACAACCATGTTTTGCCTGCCAGTCTGTGAAAACTATAAACTGGCACAAACACAGTAGGTAAGATTTGACTTCTTGTCCAAAGCAAAAATGGTGATTTTTTTTTTGGGGGGGGCCGCCAGTGAATGGTAAAATTGGGAGATCTTTGGAACTTCAGTCTTGTAGATTGCTTTTTCCATTCTAACTTTGTGTCATTTTTATTCTTACATACTTTATGCATGTTGTCTTTCACATCTCAGCACAGCTGAAATTTAGTGTTCAGGAGGACATTTTTTCATTTCAGCATCTGAAATATGACAGTAAGTGTCTTCCTTCAAATTAATAGACTTTGCACACTATCGTTTTCATACCCACTACCTATGTGAACGGAAGAGCAAAGAGGTGGTGAGGAACTTGCTATGCCCTCATTAACCCAAGGGTGTTAAGATGAATGTGCAGTTCAGTATTACAGATAGGCTGATCAAATAGCTAGTTGCCATCTGTGACAGAAGTGCAGTCCTGCTTGTGCTCTCTTTCTTCCCTCTCCTGTAGTGCATGTTTTGGGTCTTTCCCTTTTTGTTGATGTGGGGAACTGAAACATTAAGAAATTATTTACTTTTTATTCTTTGAAAAGGACTGGGTTTTCAGCTATGTAGAAGTTTCTTGGCACACCATGGTATTACACACCAGTGCTGCCTGGATGAAGTGCTGGCAACACAGTGGATAAAAGAAAGTACCACCTGTCCTTTACATTAATCAGTAATGTCAAACAGACACGTGGGCACTTGTGCTCCATTTTAAAAATTTTATTTCTTTATAATCTGCTTTTTTGTAGGTATCCGTCAGCTCCAGCTTATCCTTTTGAAGGTTGCCTTGATCTTGGGAATAGAGATCCATGTCAATGTGGAATTTCAGGGGCTTGTTTACCCTCCAGAGGATCAGGAGAATGAAAGCAAGTAACATTGAAACGGGTATTAGAGAAAGGGGAAGTTATGGTAGGATACACAGACACCTACTCCTTAACCCTGCTTATGACTCTAAGTCCTTTCCTCATGCTCCATTAATAAAGAGTAATTATTAATACACTTTTGCTTGAATTTTTAGTAGGATTTAGTTTTTCTAGTGACAAATCCAAATTAGTTACTATATGAAACAATTGCCCGAAGTACTACACGGAAGTAGACCAAGATGCAATAGATTGTAATTGATCCTAAAATATTTAAGCCCATTATACTTAGAAGATACCTGTGTAAAACAACTCCTTTCTTTGCATTCACTGAAGATATTTATGTCAGTGAATGATCCTTGGTACGCTTTTTGTATCTTTGAAACCCATTTTCTGATTGCCATGGGAGATGGTGGCTTACTTGGTTTTTGGCATCCTATTAATTGAATAGATAGTAGAGAAGCTATAAAGGCTGTAGTGATCCTTAAAGGTAGTATCAAGAGGGATTTACCAGAGCAGTCTCTGCCTCTGATTCTCACACTTGGCTGATGCAAGTCAGCAGTAACCTGGCCAGCAATATAGCTGTCCTGCAGTGTATCTTTACTGACCATGTGAGGAGGAGATTATGGATAGTAAGAAGAGGTTTTATGTGTTTATTCTATCATGAGCACTGTTTATATTGTCATTAACTTGAAGTTCATCAACAGGGATAGGTTGGCGTGCATTGGTCCACCCAAAAACCCATCCAGTATCTGAATATGAGTTTGAAGTAATCATTGGAGGGGATGGCAGGAGGAATACCTTAGAAGGTAATGGTGTATCCATAATTCGCTTTCACATAGAACTTATTCTTAAATTAGTTAGAACAAAATGGATTTTAACTTCCCAATCAAAATTTGGAAAGACATTTGACTAGTGAAAGGGAGATTAAACATCCACGTGAAAATCCATTTGTATTGAAGACACTGAGGTTATTTTTTTCCTTTTCCTATCCACTAGCAAAGGAGTTAGGTGTTTTAACCTGGATAATTATTCCTACATATTTTATTTAGTTGAGTAGTATTGTAGCTCTTACTTTTGGGAGTAGGAATTAAAGTGTTGAATATTATTCTCTGTAGTAGAGAATTTTATCTTAATATTTTTGATGCAAATTGCAATTTTTGGAAAAGGGATAAGAAAGACAGAAGAGCTTTTTCCCTAAACAAGAGCTTTTATTTTTCTTATGAAGCAATTTTTGCTTTTTCCGTGGAGGAGTTTGTAATTCATCAGATTCATTCTGTCTTTTTATTTTGTGAGGGCACCTGTCTATGCCATGCTGAGCCTTCTCTGAAGGTGTGCTGTATTTTTCATTGTTACTACTTTATCCTTCCTGTAGGGTTTCGCCGAAAAGAGTTCCGTGGTAAACTAGCAATTGCTATCACAGCAAACTTCATCAATCGCAACACCACAGCTGAAGCCAAAGTAGAAGAGATCAGTGGTGTGGCCTTCATATTCAACCAGAAGTTCTTCCAGGATCTACGAGAAGCCACAGGTTTGCCAGCATTACTAGATTTCCAGTGAAAACTATTATTAATATTTTTATTATTTAGGGCAGAAATATATTCAGTTAACACCCTTTTGGAGTATTTTGAGCCATCAGAAGAGTGTTATAATAGTCTTTATTATTACAACTTTGTAACTTGGGTATCATGTTTAATCAATAAATGAACATCTTGTACAAGGAAGTCAGTCATTGCAGTCTCTGAAATCTGACTTCCCTATTTTTACAGCTCTTCTATACAGTTGTACAAAGCAGATGTGTATCATTCAGATGTGTGTCATTTTTGTTGAAAAGTGGAGAACTTATTTCCCTGACAGTTTTCAGTAAATCTGAACCCTAAATAGGAAAAGTCTGAGTCCTGAGTTCAGCTTTTTGCACACCACATGTGAATGCAAACCTTAGATTGATGATAAATATGTATTTTAAAAGAGGTAGCTATATGCTGATGAAATGTGCTGTTTGTGATTTTGTTGAAGATTCAGATTTTAACGGCATCAAAAGCATGGGAGAAAGCTGCTTGGCATTCTCTCTCTAAGGCTTTCTAACCATGTAGTTTCGTTGTACTTTCTTCTGTTGCATGTAACATACAATTTACTTTCTTCTGAGCTCATGTTGCATGTAACTTGTTCCTTCACTATCATGACTTTTGTTCTGTCATAAGGTATTGACTTGGAGAACATTGTCTACTACAAAGATGATACACACTACTTTGTCATGACTGCCAAAAAACAGAGCTTGCTGGAAAAAGGAGTGATACGGCATGTGGGTATTAACTTTTCCTATATTCACTATAAACTTAAGATTTTTGGGACAATTTGCTTTTCAGATGTTAAGGGAAGCCTGCTTTTTTTTCACCTTGTAAAGTTTTTATACAGGTGTATTTTAGAGCAGAAATATATGTGGTTAACACCTTCTGAAGTTTTTTGAGCTATCAGAAGAGTGTTATAAGACCTATCTTCTCCAAATTTGTATCCCTTTGTAGATTTGGCAATTTTGTTTATGTTAAGATAAAATATGCTTAAAAAAACATTTGATAGCTTAGTTAAGCTTCTCTAATTTTATGGGAATGAAAAAGCAGGGAGTGAAGAAAGTATTGGAAATTCACCTATATTTTATTCTGACAGAAGCTGATTTTAAAGTAGCTTGGCCACAAATGAACAAATAAGGATTGAGGCCTTGTACCTTCTGTCTGAAGTGTGTGAAGAGATATGCTCAGAAGTTTCTTAGCCCTTTCACACTCAGAAATGCTAGCAGGACTGATAAGTGTTTGCAATAAAAGATTTACAAATTTTCTCTGAAGCATAAGCACAGATAGGAATGAAAGAAATGAGGGCAAACCTGTATCAATGGATTTGTCAGAATCTTAATGCCGTCTATTATATATACCAGTCTTAAAATAAACTTGCAGATTTGGCTGTTTCACTTTGTGTTTTTGTCAGGATTATGCTGACACAGAGTTGTTACTCTCACGGGAGAATGTGGACCAGGAGGCTCTGCTAAACTATGCCAGAGAAGCGGCTGACTTCTCCACTAATCAGCAGCTGCCATCACTGGACTTTGCCATCAATCACTATGGTCAGCCAGATGTGGCCATGTTTGACTTCACGTGCATGTATGCGTCGGAGAATGCAGCTCTGGTTCGAGAACAGAATGGCCACCAGTTACTTGTGGCACTGGTGGGGGACAGTCTCTTAGAGGTTTGTGTTTTAAGCTTATTGTATAAACAGTGAATTGAAGCATAAACATAAGCTGTTGCACCCATCACAGAAATATGCGCTGCCTATAAGAGAGTTACTGTAAGGAAAGCTACTGTTTATTATAAAGTGGGAGGTTTGAAGGAAAGGTGGGGGAAACACAGTATTTAGGATGGTAAAGATCTTGCTCAAGAAAATGTGTGCAGAGATTTTTCTGAAGTTGTGTCTCTTCTGTCTGCTTCTTATTGGGACAATTAGACCCTTTACGGAGCCTACTTGTAGGCCTGTTAGTTATTAGCATTTTGTAGTTGGTTAAAAAGTACAGTCTTGAAGAGAAACTGTTAAGGCATTCCAGGCTATGAGTTATTGTTGGGTATAGAGGAACATTGGCTTTGGAGGAGCTTATGGGATTTTCACCATACATCTGGCTTCCTCTAGCCCGGCGGGAGTAGAGCTTTCAGCTAATTACTGAGCTACAATTTCCCAGCAAATTACCCTCTGAATGTGTTCTTGGTATTTGTTTAAATTTTTTCCTAACTGGTGCTATTCCTTTCTCTGCTTTTTTTTTTTTTTTTTTAAACTATAATATTAGCCATTTTGGCCAATGGGAACTGGAATAGCCAGGGGATTTTTGGCTGCAATGGACTCTGCTTGGATGGTACGAAGTTGGTCGCTTGGAGCTAGTCCTTTGGAAGTTCTTGCAGAGAGGTAATAGAGAAAATGAATACACTTTCAGTTCTAATGCAGTCCTCCAATGTCTCATCATTCATTCCAGTTCCTTCTAGTACAAATATATAGATAGAGTGGGAGATACAGATTCTCACTCTTTTTAGTGGATGTTTGTGGGTATAATTCAACTGAAGAAAAATTTCTTAAAGAGCTGATAAAGAAAAAAAGTGTATTTATAGAGGAAAAAAATGTCACAGCCATTAAGATTAGATGAAGAATCTTTTTTTGGGTCCTTATTGGCATTACGTGGAGTGACTTACTGTCATCAGCCTTGCAATAGCAAACCAGATGAAGATGTAGGTGCCTTTAAAGTGCCAGAGACAAAAATTCTTGCCATCCCCTATTATCTTGTAAATATCTTTAATGATTTCCTTTTATGGAATCTGTGAACTGCTTTTATTTCATGTTCTCCTAAATTGGTCACTTTGTTTCATATAAGCTGAACAGCATCTTGTGTTTCTTTGGAGTATCATGTTCTTTATGCTTTTATCATCTTTGGTTGAGTGTTATTTTTGTGACTCAAGGTGATCTCTTAGAGATCAGAGCTCAAATAATTAAAAAAATGGAGTAAGTAAAAGCAACAGCTAGTAGAATCTATTTTAAACTTAAGTAACTGCAGCTTCTGACCGTCAGGAATCAATAGTATAATTTTAAAGATTGTCAAAATGGCAGAATGAATTTTTTAATTCCTTTTATTGGAATTTTTAAAAATGGTGAGAATAATAATGTTACAGTTGAAGCCAGACTTCCATCACCTTTCCATTAGACATTTGCAGACAGCTGTAAGATCTTCCTTGAACCTTCTCTTCTGAATGCTGAACAAACTCAGTTCCCTTGGCCCTCCCCTCACAGGGCAAGTGCTCCAGTCCCCTTGTTGGCCACCTTCCTGAGTCACTCGTGTCTCAATGTCTTTACTGTACTGGGGAACACTGTAATTTGTTTAATGTATTTTTTTCTTCCCTTCTTTTGGTTTCTGGAGTTGTATTAAATTGCAGATTTTAATATACTTACACTGAACCTTAGCTATCCAGTGTCTGAAGTGGTTGGCTTCCTGATCTGAATGTTTATCTCCTGAGGATTTACTTAGCAGTATTAGTAGTGATGTATCTCTTAAAAAAAAAAAAACCCAAAACCCAAACCACCCAAACAAAAAAAAACCCCAAAACAACCCATAAAAAAACCCAAACGAAAACCAAACCAAATCCAAATGCAAACCCACAAAACCTAAAAGAAACAAACAAAACAAAACCCAAACTTTTTTTTTTTTTAATTCTATTTTTCCAAGGGAAAGCATTTATAGGCTACTGCCTCAGACCACCCCTGAAAATGTGAGTAAAAACTTCAGCCATTACAGCATTGATCCTGCCACCCGGTATCCCAATATCAACGTCAACTTCTTGCGGCCACAGCAGGTAACTGGACAAATGGTGCTTCTTAATCCTTGTAATCTGCACTGTCTTTTCTTAGGCGAAGCTGAGCTAATGTTTTGGGAGCAGTAGTGACCTGATGTGGCAGTATAACAGGGAAGCAGTGAAAAGCAGATACATCAGTCAAGAGTAGACCTCTGTACTTTAAGAAATTCTTTTTTAGGAATTTTTGATTTTAATAGTTTTAACCATTCTGTAATGATACATGAAATCTATGCATTTGTGTGTGTGCACATATGTGCATGCACATTTTCTTGTAATAATCTAGTATAGCAGTCTGTCATTGCAATTTGGTATCCACTGAGCAGCAGCAGTCAGCTAGACTGCTCAGCACTGATGTGCTGATCCTTGTTGCTATGGGGTTGTTGGGCTAGAGCTTTCTGCTACGTAATGTACTTGTCTTCCTTTTTGCAACTTGGGGTGGTAGCTCCTTGTTTGCTGGCTCTTTCTGTATGGATCTTAAATGTATGACATATTGGTAAGTTTTAAATTTTTCTGTGTCATTTTAGGTACGCCATTTGTATAATACAGGAGACTTGAAAGACATTCACCTGGAAATAGAGAACTTTGTGAACTCTAGGACACCAAAGCTGACTCGGAATGGTACGCCTGGCTATAGTTCTGTTCCTTTTGGTATTCTGAAGCTGGATCAGTGCAGGAACCATAGAGCAGCAGGGCTGTAGAGTGTTATTTAACCAGTTTCTTTTGGTTTAGAAAATGTATCCACCAATTGTTTTGTCAACAGTTTGATTTTCCAAATTTTGAAGTTTCAATTAGTACTTAATATATTTTTTGTTTGCCTCATTTCCCTTTCTTGATAATGCTGTTAAATTTCTAAGCATATTTACTTATATAAGCATTTCTTTTCATTTTCTTTATCCTATAAAAATTTCCTTACTTAGAATGCAGAAGCCTAGCCTGAATTCATTCTATGAGTAAACTCAGAATTCTTACAGATGTAACAGAAGCTGTTTTTTGTGCAGTCTTTCATATTCATGCTTTCCTTTACTTGATCTCATTTTATCATAACCAAATGAAAGCTAACTTTGCTTGCATTATTCTGAAAGTTAGATGCCTTGTGATAAACATTTCAATATCTGTCTACTTGTCCAGTACCCTGAGGGGTATGTTGAACTTTTCCTTTTGCACACTTTGCTTTTGGATGCCCAGATAGTGTCTGGGGACTCTCAGAATGGCACTTTGCAGCTAAGCCTCCCTTTCACTGCTGAATTAGCTACCTAGTCTTTTGATTTGTTCTTTGCCCTGTAACCATGTCCCTTTAGGCTGTAATCTCATCAGATCTTGCAGTAAGGCAAGGTCAAAACAGGTCAGTGCTTTTAAAGAAAAGCTTTCAAGAGAAAAGAAAAAGTTGCAGAGGTACACTTGTAGTTCTTCCATTAGAAAAAGTGTATCTGGACTTTAGAGAGCACTATGCTACTGATCCTTTTGATCATATTTAACAAGTCTTTGCAACTGTTTTAAAATTCCTGGGACTCTTTTACAAGGGCTAGGGTGAAAAGCCTGGCAAGTTATAGCTTAGATTATTACTTTTCAGCAAATAAAAAATCCTTTCTTGGATCTAAAATAGATGTGATAGTCTTTTTTTAAAAAAATAAGAATTCTGTCCTGTATTGCCCATTGTAGAAGGAGCTTGTTGTTTACATGAAAGTTGTATTTGTTGATTCATGGTTTTTACATTGCATTTAGAACTTGTGAAAGAGATGTTGTGTATTTCTGCTTAAAAATATGATTTTTTACAGAGTCTGTAGCTCGCTCTAGTAAATTGCTCAGTTGGTGCCAGAGGCAGACCGATGGATACGCGGGTGTTAATGTGACGGATCTCACAATGTCATGGAAAAGTGGCCTAGCTCTGTGTGCCATTATCCACAGATACCGTCCAGACTTAATGTGAGTAACTGGCTGTTTTGAATAACCGGAAAGGACAGAATGTTAGTGATATTGGAACTAATGGTATGGAGACCGAGGCAATGCAATTGTGATTTATGGAGAAGTTGATTTAAATTAATTCAGTTAAACTTGATAGATGCAAATGTACAGTGATTCACCAGCAGAGTGGAAGGTCATAATATCTTGATGAATATGAAGATAAATGTGTTGTCATTTTCCCTTCTGGATGATTTGACAGAATTAAGCTTCCAGTCGGTACTGACTGGAAAGCATTATTGGCTGACAGATCTTTTCTCTGTGAAGTTAGTCAGGAATACTTCAGAGCTTCAGTTAAATTTCTCATGAGCAGGTCTCTACACAGCCCTTTTTAAATCTCCTGTTTAACAGTAACTCTTCTTAAAGACTCTTTAGGTTGTTCTTTTCAGAAGTAGTGACCCACAGTATAAACAGAGATGTTGCTATTGTTTGTACATTAACATGCTGATTGGATGAACGAGAGGCATCTATTACATGATATATTGGGTAAAACAGCACCCAGATTCTAGAATTGGGAAAACACTGACTGGAAGAAGTAACAGTAGCAAAGACTCCAGTACTTTAATAGAAAGCTGAAATGGCTTCAGGTTCCCAAAGGAAATTCTAGAGCTATATTTAAAGACATAATCCAATGTAAATCATGCTGGGAAATTATGTGGTTATTCCCTTCCATGTTCGCCAAATTACTTCTCAACTGATGTACTCAAGTTAACCTGAGCTACTCTGTTTAATAGCTATATAGCTTGTAGAGAGTTCAAATAGCTTTTAAAATTGTTTATTTAACTCTACAAGCTATAGATTTTATATATTTCTACAAGTTTTGGAAAAAGCCAGCAGAACTAAAATATGGGTCAGTCAAGAAAAAAGGGAACAGAAGTGAAGACTTAATTAGTTCAAAGCATAACAAAAGATTTTATGTAGTGTGAAAACAGTACATTCTTCCAGCAAAGGAAGAAGTTAATATGTATTTCAGAGGATAATAAAGTTTTTTAAGAGAAAAAATCTGGGTTTGCAGGAGGAACAAAAAAAGAAAAAATAATATGTGTGAGCCAAAGTTCACTGTAATTAAGGAGCATCAACTCTTTGATACAAAAAGTTGTGGCAAATAAATTTGAGAGATTTTGGAGAAAAGAAAAAAGGATGGATCCCTGAGTTCTTTCAGAAGACTGGTTTCTACTTGATTCAGTGCATGTCCTCTTTCTGCACTTTGCAGAGACTTTGATTCTTTGGATGAGCACAATGTGGAGAAGAATAATCAGCTGGCCTTTGACATTGCTGAAAAAGAGTTTGGAATATCTCCCATTATGACTGGAAAGGAAATGGCATCTGTTGGAGAGCCAGATAAACTGTCGATGGTGATGTACCTCACACAGTTCTATGAGATGTTCAAAGACACCATCCCCTCTAGCGGTAAGGAGTTTGGGGCAGGTCTGTGAGATTTAAAGACAGCTTCAAGGTGAAAGTGTGTGCTTCAGTTATCTTCATTCTTCTGCATGAGCTCATACTGGTCACTAACTTTACATCACAAAAAGTTGGCTTCTTATTGGTGCTGGTAAAAAACATGTTAGCAGCATTAGGAACAAAATAAAAAAGGAGTTAAAATAATGCCCTCAAAATCATGTCCTTAAAAGTTCTGAACTCCCTTGTTGTTAGGGGTTCATCTGTCTCAGCTAATGTGAGATGCTTTGCTAGTAGTTGTTTAATTGGCAATTTCAAAACACTGGCCAAGTTTTATATCTGTTTACCATCCATGAATGATGAGACTAACTTCAGGCCAATGAGGAATGAGAGATCTTTGATTAGAACTGAAAGATGTAATTGCCTAACACAAATCAATATGGCCTTTAAGTATTAATAATGTTGTTACAGTTTTTTCTTTTTTACTGATGATCTTAACTCAAGTCTATCATTCTGGTGGGGAAAAAAACAAGTGTGTTTAATAGCCTTTTAAAAATATACTGCGTATCAGGTATAATCTCAAAACTCTGAATTCTTCTTATCAAAACTGATGATCATGATGCTTTTTGAATATGAAAGTAAATAGAGTAAACAGAGTATTTATTCTGGATGTTTATAATCTCTGAAAGGAGAATTGTTTTTTGTAAAATGAAAAAGCAGAGTAGCTTAAAAGGGTATTATTTCTGGACATAACAATCATTTTGGACAGAGAATTTAAGGAAAAGTGTGTCACGTTAAAAAAATCAGTTGTGTATTTAATAATAGTACCACAGAAAAAATTTCTTGGCATTCCCTTGTCCTACCTGTTTTTGCTAACAGATAGCCTGGACCTGAATGCAGAAGAAAAAGCTGCCCTAATTGCCAGTACCAAATCGCCTATCTCTTTTCTCAGTAAACTGGGACAAAGCATCTCTCGGAAACGCACTCCAAAGGTAACTGTACCACGATATTGATAACGCTTGTATCTGTTAGGCTGCTGTCCAAGTAAGTGGTACTAAAAATGTGTATGTAAGTGTGTATCTGCTGTTTCTTACAAGAGACCATGTTCATCAGCTCTTGGCATGGGACAATACATGACATTTATAACTGCAGAACTATGCCCATAACTCTCAGTTAGTGGTATATTTCAGTCTTAAAATACTAGCCTCGTGGTGGTATTTGGGTATATATTTTGTATCAGAACATAAGTGGTTACTCAGTTCTCAGTTAGTTTAAAGTATTGAAGAATGTCCAATTTGAACATAAGAATCCCATAAGGAGGATCAGGACAAAAACCTTTTCTTTAAGCAAATGGAGGAAGAGACCAGAGAATTAATCAGTTGTGTTGCAAAGCTTATTTAAGTGCACTGATGACATTAATCTCAGGCCAGAAGGGTATGAGAATACTTATCTTTGTTGGTTTTTTCCTCTCCTCCTTCCGTTTTCAGGACAAAAAAGAAAAGGAACTTGATGGTGCAGGAAAGAGGAGAAAAACCAGCCAATCTGAGGATGTAAGTATTACAGTGAGGAAGGTGTCAGGGAGGGAAACACATGGTAGGTTCCCACTTCAGTCTTTTCGATTTTTATATCCAGACAGGTTTTTTTAGATCAAAATTAATTCTTTTTCAGAGGTTGCACTTTGTTGTATCTATAGTGCAAATATGTTACTGATGCTTATGAAAGAATAGTACACAACAAATTAAATGTTGCGGTTCCCTCCTGTTCTATTTTTATTACAGTTTACTTTGATTTGATGAGGAGACCAAGAATAAAACTTTCATTTTGTAAAGTCATGCTTTATAGTCAGAAGTTTAATTTATATTTAAACTTTAGCTTTGGTTAGTGCAAAAAACATACATTTCTAGTGTGCCCCATAAGGCAGTCCTTCAGTTGAAATGTTTATAGACAAATAGGTACAAGTGAGTTAAAATTTAGTGCTTTGTGTTGTCAGCAAAGGTTTGAAGATAGGCCTTTGGTTTATGTCAGGAGATTCATAGGAGTGTTTCAACTGTGGTCTCTGACAGGTAAGTATCAAATAAGGTTGAAAAGATAAGTAAAGTTTCACAGATCTTTTGATGGCATGCCAAAGGAAATTAAAATATGAGCTTTCACGTGCAGACTAATAGATTTATTTTCTACAGTGTTAGAAATCTGTCACAGCACAGGGGTAGAGAGGAAAAGGTATCCGGTTGTGTCTTGTTAAGTTTTGATATCTCTGGTTGTTAGGAGGACATCCCACGAAGCTACAGAGAAGAAAGGCCCACACTGGTGAGCGCCCTGACAGAGCGGAGAATTGATGCTGCCATTGGGAATCAGAACAAAGTCAAGTCTATGGCAACCCAGCTACTAGCCAAGTTTGAAGAGAATGCACCAGTGCAGTCCTCAAGCTTACGTAGACAGGTAGGAGATGGATAATAAACCCCTTTATTTTGGAATTGTGGAGAAAAAGAATGAATAATAACATGCATTCCTCAGGACTGGATACTAGTGGTGCTTTTCTACTTCAGAGGCTCTCCTAGGCGAGAGGGAAGCTTACTCAAAAGAGAAAAAATTAGAGTTTAGGAATATGGGTTGGAGAAGAACTTCCTAATAAAAGTCTATTTTTCTGTTATTGCCCATATCATGCTGCATAATATGAAAAGCTTTCCAGGAACATTCCACTTCTAATGTTTAAGAATGATAATTTCAATTTCTAATTTGAACTTTTTCATGCCAGGTTACGTCTCTTTTTTCTTGTGAACTGTGATTAAGTATGTATGTGTACATAAGTGCAGCAGATAAATGCTTGGAAGTTTCTTTGCAATCAAGATGTTTGTGTCATTCCAAGTGAGGCTTCCTGATGACTGCTGGTTATTCAGGATGATATCTGTACTGCAACTACAGGGTAGTTGTCTTTGAAGTTAGGTTGAGTCCCTAGCAGTGCAGTGTCAGCAGTATAAGGCTCAGTATGATTTAAGTGCCTGAGTTCTTGCTCTGCTGCAGAGTCTATCTTCATAACTTGTGCCAAGCTCTGTGCTGCCATGCCAGGTTGTGAGTGGGTCCTGATGTACCTACTTTAAAGCTAGGTCAAGAATGTCTATACTACATTGCACATCAGTGACAGTAGTATAACATAATCTTAGAATGGTGACGTTTATGCTACTCTTAATCAGTCAAACGTTTCCTCAGCCACTACATATTGGCTGAAAGAACCAGGCTGATTTGAAGAAGCAATGAAGCTAAAGGGAAGGTCCAAAAATATGTGTAGTTTCCCATTTTTTGATGTTTTTTCCTTTTTATATTTTATTTGCTAAATTAATTCTCCGCTACCCTATTTTTTTCCCTTAAATGTTTGTCTGTCTTATTCAATATTCCATTCCTTTGCTTTCTTTGAGTTGCCTTACAATTTTATCTTTCCTCCTTGGTCTCATTTTCCCTACAACCTGCATGCAGCAACCTGTCCTGCATTATCAAGAACGTGTTCACAACCAACCATCCAGCAGACGAGAGCAGGGCCGTCTTGCTCCCATACCCCAGTGGAAACAGGTAAAGAAACTGATTATGAATACAATGCACTGCCTGCACCCAACACTAGCTATCGCTATCCTGTTTTTAAAGCAGTCCTTTTCCAGCACCTTGTGTGAGTCTGTTATTTTAAATAATTTAACTTTCAATGAATAAAATCAACACCTTTGGTTATGATGCATGGTTTAATGTTACAAAAGGTCTTAGTCAAACTTTCCCTGCCCTCTTATACTAGTTTCAACTTCCCAGTGTTTCACTGGATGTTTTAGCAGAAACCTTGCCTACAGAATTTCTGGCTTTTTTTTGTTAGTAAAAAATTGAAAATATTTAAGCAGTTATCACAACCAACGAGGTAAAAGGTGTCATGCCATTCATGATATTAAAGCTCTTCCTTGGTATAAATAGTAAAATCAGTTATCAGTTTTGCTATTCACATGTGAAATCTTACGTGTTTTGCAGTTATGGGAGACTTTACCATGGTTTCCCTTTCTCTGTTGAATGTAGCTTTCCTTGCCAATTTCTCACATTCATTGCATTGCCACTTCGTATATTACTGTGAATTAAGTAAATTTTAGTTTTTCTGCCACAAAGTAGTTCACATTAGGACTCAACAACAGAATAATCAGCAGGTATTAAATTTTACTTTCTCTCATGTGTTTTGGCCCATTGTCATTGCCAGTGTTTTTCTTTCAGCCATGCAGTTTCAAAAGCTAAGGTTTGTGACAGACAACCTTTTCAGGCAGATAAGGGATACTTCTGTCACTGTCTTCCTCTGCTTTCACTGTTTCCCTGTGCAAATGGCCTTCTCATGTTTCTGAGAGCACTGAGAGATATTTTTCTTGCAGCCATAATTTAGAGAAACATCTGCTTCTTTCTGGTTGCAGTTTGAAGTCAAGTGGAAGAAGGTGTCACTAGTTTGGAAATTCATTGTTCTGCATGTTTATTGATTCATGGTCTTCACGTTTGAGGCATTCAACACAATTAATGCTGCATGTCATGGCCGATGCCATGATCTACAGCAGGGTTCTCAACCTTTCCTTCACCATGGGCCCCTTTTAAATATCTTTTGTGGCCACAGACTACCAAGACTTAATTCAAGCTTTAAAGCACTAGACTGCATCAAATATTTATTTCAATTTTCTCATGAAGAGTCTTCAAATGTGGAGAGAAGGGGAAATATATTAATCTGTTAATGCACGCACTGCTATTATAATATCTTTATTGCAGTGATTCCATATGAATTTAAAATAATAGCATCAACACTCTTCTTGCTCAAATGGGCCATTTTATGGTATTTTAATGTTCTAATTCCAAATTTTATGCCAATTTTTATATTAAAATTTTAATGTAAAGTTTTTACAATTCTTCTCACCTCTTCCCTTGTTTGTCTATGTTCAGTCACCATATATTTTTGTTTATGGGTCCAGGGCCACCACTTGGAGGAACAGACTTCAGACCTGTTGTGGCCCTAAAGAGGGCTGTTGGGTTAAGAAAATGTTTTTAAGAGAAAAACCACCTAGTTAAAGTGGGTCTCACCAACCATCTAGCACCAAAACTACAACCATGTGGAACCATTAATACAACATAGGCATACAAAATTCTCATTAAAATGAAAGCTAGAAAATGATATGAATATAATTTTATAAGTTGTACTTCACTTAACACAAGCTGTTGGGAAAAAGAGCACATAGTATGTTTGCGTAAATACAACTGCTGTGTATGAGAGAAGCATTGAAGGGGGAGGTGGGGTGGGGTGGTGGAAGCTATGGGAAAAGGAGGTGCAGTGCTTGCCATTGGCCAGACCAAATGTTTCCGGGCTGGATGTTCCCCACTCCTTCTTTAAGCCTTTGTGGTCCGCCTGTGATGACATCGTGTCCCCCCAAGGGTCTGCGGACCACAGGTTGAGAACCACTGATCTAGAAGATATCTCTCCAGGTAAGAAGACCTGAGCCAGGGGAATTGCAGTCAGTAGGACTGTTAAGAGAGTCTTAAAAATGTCAGCATTATGTTTAGTTTTCCTGACAGTGTTTGTTTCTTCTACCTTCTGTCTCATCAAAATCTTTATAGGCTAATGAGCACTTTCAGATTGATACACATCACCCATGATTAAGGCAAATTTCATTTTTTAAGAATACTTCCCAGGTAAAGGGGGAGAACCCAGAGAACTCCTGCAGAAGAGCATAATATGGCTGTACAATATTAAGTCAGTTGATGACCACTGCTTATGTTACCCCAGGAAAAAAGGAAAACTATATTGCATTGGTTGTCTTTCTCAGTTCAGAAGGATGAAGATTTGTGTTTTACCACTTGGAAAAGATCACATCCCTGTAAACTTGAGATTTCTATATGAACCTGATACTGAACCTCTATGAAGGGTTTATAATTAAGCTTTACAGTGAAACATGAAAGTTCTTATTGTCATCCTTTTGTAATTGATCAAAAAACGGATGAACTTTTGGTTCTTACTTTTATGATGAGGCTTTTCTCCTCACCAGAAAGCAGTTTGTTCTTGTGTGTGTTCTTGTTTTTACCTGCACTACATGATTTTTTTTAAAAAAGGGGGGAGACAAATAATCTTTCTGGTCTCCCTCAACGTTGATAGCATCTCCGTATAGGCAGCGATGTAGGACAGATCTTTGAAAAATCTTTTTGTAACAGTTGTATTTTCAGAGGACTTAAAATGTTTTATTTAACACTGACACTGATTGCCTTGTGTAGATGATTTCCTTCTCAAGATTACACCTGGAGGTGATCTTTCCTTGATAGGCTTTACTGCAACAGAAGATGATTGGTTCATGGGTCCAGGTTTCATGCTGGGTTTGCAGTGCTTTGCAACTGAAATGGAGTAAAACTGGTTCTCAAGGATGCAAAATCTTCAGGATACAGTAGGATCACAGAAACAATTGATACAGTCCCTATTCCAAAGGTTTCTTATTATGTGTGTGGGGAAATGAAGAACATCAGTTGTCTTCATTCAAAAGCCATAGGTGTATATAGAACCACTTATTCTCAACTGATCAGAGATCAGCTGAGGCAGGAAGCCATTCACTGATCCAAGCAGTCAGCTTTGCCAAGCTTTGACAGAAATCTATCCTGCAGAAAGTTGGTGCTGAAGCAGTGTTTCAGGTGGCTGCTGAGATTCCTAGTTCTGGTTTCTGAGGCATGCAGAATCTGATAGCTGTGAGATTGCACCTTTCTAGAGTACTGAATTGGCTTTCTACAGTGACATTGGGCACTCTAGCTACAAAGCTATTTCCTGGGCCACAGATTACCAACAGTGGAGTTGGTGCTGGGTACCAGCACATGTTATTGGACATGCTGTATAGGATTAGTATTGCTCCTGACAAGCTCTTTAGGGAGGATATATGTTTAATAGAAAGAGCTGTTCATGGAGCTATGGGAAAAGGTTCTCTTGTTTGGCACAGGTGTCAGTTTATCTTACAGTCAGTGTAAGACACTGACAGGTGTCAGTGACTGTGTAGAAGATATATTACGTAGTGAATGCCTTCTACTGGAGATTCCTTTCAAGAGGAGCAGAGCAGTTCCTAAGGGGACAAAGTTGTGACATGTTATTGAGGGAAACCATAGGTTGCCTAATGTTCTTGCCGGTAAGCAGAATGAAGCTGAGATTCTCAAGGATCTTTGGGAGAAGGGCAGTTTTGTATCTTGTGATTGATACATTTAGTCTTGCGTCTTGGAAACTGCCTGTGAGAGGAAAGTCAACTGCAAAAGCATAAGAGTGATTACAGGGGAGAAATCACACAGTTGCAAAGGATGTGGTCTGGGTTGGACCCTCAGTTTTGATGGAAGATTTACATCTGCCTTGGGCTATTCCCTGCCAGTGTCTGTCAGATGGACTTCCTCAGCTGTACTTGCTTATCATTTTAAGTGTAGAATCTTGCTTTGCTCTGAAGTTAAGAGAGTTATGAGGCCAGCAGTTTCAATGATCTTGTAAGGCAGAATGTCTCTGTGTCTTTTGTACAGGTGGGGTAGGGGTGGCTTGCTAACGCAGAATTCTTAGAAAGAATGAAATCCTGGCAGAATCTGTTCTGAAGTAGTTTTTACTTTCATCACAAGACCTTTAATGCTGTCTCTCTTGGAAAGGGAAAAAACCTTCAAAAGATCAAGCATGTTAAAAACCTCACTAATCTGCTCACAGCATTCTGTGTGGCCTGCATTTTATGAATTGGATTACAATGTTTGCTTTATTGAGCTACATTTTGAGAATGTTGATCTGTGTTGTCAAAATGGTGTTCATGCTGTTACGGATACCTCAGCAGCAGCTATTAATGCATGAAGATACTGTTAAGTGTATGTGCACAGTGGAAATGTGTAATTCTTTATGCGATGGTGATATCTCCTAAAAAAGCTAGATTGTGTTCCATGGTGTGGTGGTTAATCTCCTCGAATGAACATCTACTTGTATTAAAACATCTTCCATGGTGTGTTCTGCTTTCCAAGCCATTTTGGCTAATTGTGGGAAAGAGCATCTCATGAGGGGTCATGAAGCCATTGGAAAGCCATATGGCTTATGCAGAAGAGGATCTGACTGTTTGGGTATGGTATGGGAGATGAGTCTTTTAAACTGAATGTTGTCCTGGCTTCCCATACTCTCAGTTTTTGGCCTTCAGCAGTTTTCTGCTATAGTTCATAGGTCTTCTAGCAGCCCCAATGTATGTGTGTAATATGTAGGCTTAAATCACTGATGTGTACAAAGGTGCTTGTAAGATGGAGATTGCATGTGTCTTTTGGTGCACATCTTTTCTGCCTCTGGAGATCTTATGATTGTTCTTTTGAGATGGTTCCCTGAAGTGTGATAAAGGTGCAGCAGTACAAATTCTTTTCAGTAATTCTGTTGGAACTGTGGGTTTTGAAGTTATGCAATGACTGAGATGACCACACTCAGCAGGAGCTGAAATCTCCACAGAAGAGAACTTAACAACACCAATGATCTCTGCAAATATTGTTTTTCTTACTTTATTTCTTACTTAAATCTGTTGATAATATCTTTCCTCTTTCCTACAGCCATCTTTTGTGCCTGCTCAGAAATGCATCCTACTGGAGGACTGAATGCGTACTTCCTAAACTTATACAATTTTATATTCTGAGATCTGCCTGGAAAAATACACAAGTTTTTGAAAATTTTGAGATTTGAAATGCAAACTCAGCCATGATCAGATGAAAATCCATGAACAGCTATAATGGTTGAAAATGTTATCACCCTTTCAGCTGGAAGTTGTGACTTCACAGCTGAGCCTTTTAAAAACAGTATATAAATCTTCCTCATCCACTTCAGTACAAAGTCATCTGCTTTAGTTTAAGAAGCTTGTAGCATCTGTTTGAATTAGAAGAGTTGATTTTTTTTTTTTTAATTTCCTGAAAGAGAAGAGAATACCCAAGCAAATGGAACATGTGTAATACCTTTAAACAGCATTCTCTGAAAGCTATCTAACAGTGGCTTTGGATAGGCATTTTTTTTTCACAGTGCAAAAATTTCCATATATGGTCTGGTGAGAAATCAAAAAGAAAAATCAGGCAGAAGACACATAAGAAGTGTTAAAGAAAACACTGTGCATAGTAAGGAGGTACACAAATAAAAAGGCATGTTTTCTGGCACATGAAAATGACAACATGTATGTACCTTGTGTAATATTCAGACTATTAGATATGGCTACCTTTTGGCTATAAAACAGCTGTATTTGTGTTCTAGTAGAATGTAGTACAACTTAATTTGCCTGAGATGGTTTAATATCTGTAAGTTAAAGAGGAGGGATCTGAAGCTGAGAGCAGAACACTGTGACTTGAGTTGTATTACTAATGAACAGCAAGCAAGGGTAATTACATCACCAGGATGGATATTTTTAAAAATTGCAAGGCACAGCAATAAGTAACTTTTCGTGAAGCAAAGAGCAGTTCAACTGTGCTATGGAGAGTTCCAAGTTGTACCTTTCACTGATTGTAAGACCTTGAGTCAGAAACTGTTGGTTGAATTGATGATAGGTATAAGTACATGTTCATTGGCTGTCCCTGGAAGTATCTGTCAGATGGACATGTGGTTGTGTGTCTGTGGGTGAAACACTAAGGTCTTTCAGCATCAGATAAAATGTGTCTTAAAGCCATTTGTGGCTTAAGGTCATTTGTGAGAAGTGTGATCTTAAGATCATAGTCTCTCAGTTCAAGTGTTCTGGCCTATCTCACCAAAGCCAATTGTAGTGTTATCTCTTTTCTACCATTATTACAATTTTTTTTCTTCTTCTTCTGTTTTTAAAAAAAGCTGAGAAATAAGGAACGTTCTCGGACCTGCCCCAAAAAAATCATCATGCTCTCTTCTTCTCCATCTTCCTCTCCACCGTATCCCAGGCAGCAGGTGACTCCTTCTGCATGCTCTGTCCCTCTCTCTTCATACTGCTTGTACAAGTGACTAGACCAGTTACCAGATATCCTATTTACAAATGCATTTCCAATTTTATTTTTTCAGATGTTTATAGGGCTTCTCAAACCTCTTAGGTTAGAAACATAGGTCAACATTAGCTCACCAGAACCATGAAGAGTCTCCACTGGAGACTTTGAGAGTTTATGGTGGGGTAATTTGTAATTACAGTAGCCTTTTTCAGTTTTGAGTTAAGCAAAATAGAAGTGAAATGTTTGGAGTAATACAGGCAAAAGAAATGCAACTTTTCTCCATCTCTACTCTTGGTTTAAACAGGTATGACCAAAAATTTGCCCTTGTATTCATGAAACTCTTTCAGGCTTACTTGTATGCAGTGCTTTTTTGGAGTGTTGTAGTGGCCTGCACATGTCCACTCTGGTCCTTCTTTTTCCCCACACCCAGGCCTTTCTTCCACAAGAGTTTGTGTTCAGTCTGTCTGAGTTTGAATTTGGAGCAGTGACAGCTGTTCTGAACACAGTGTATAAATGTGGATCCAGATGTTTGTGCGCACATATTTGTTGTCCTTCTAGTTAAATATTACCTGAAATTCTTTAATATTTGTGTCTTGTACATGGTCATTGTGTGTCTTTGAGTTGTATCCTTTTAAAATTTTTGTTTCATTTTCCTACTGAAGTAATAAATTCCACTTCTCCCCGATCAATCCCAAACTAATCTCAAGGTGATAAAAAGGCAGCTGCAGTTTCATAGACCTCTCATAAATTTAAATGAGAATTGTACAAATAGATTTCCCCATAGGTGGAAAATGTTTCTTTGCTGACAGCTTATATGCCTATAAACTCTGTAAAGGCATTTTACATATTAGCAGAGTAGACAAAACTTATTCTTGGATGTAAAGTTTGACTTGCCTTATTGCTGTGATTTCCCAGAGTGTAGTTACATGTTACCATTAATCTGGTCTAATTATTGTCAGTCTCCAGAGCACATGTTGTCTGCTGCCTCTTTGGTGTCTGCATCTGCGAGATAGGTCAGGTCTGCTTACTGATCTCATTTAAAACTGTCCTAACAAAAGAAGTGGTTAGTTTTCTGGCATGCTGTGAATAGCATATGGTGCAAGGAAGGGTACAGGAGTGGACATATAGGTAGAATGGGTGCAGAAAGTCCTTTTCATTAGCAAAAACCTGCATTTAAACTGAATTGAATGATATTACCAGATACTGTGATAGCTAGCGGCCTTCCACTTGTAAACATCCTCCGAAAATTTTGACAGATTTTTATGAGAGAAGAAAGGTTTTCCCCCAAGTTTACTAATAGAGAAACTAAGACAGTTAAATACTGAGTTTTACTTGTTAATCTGTGGGATTAATTTTCTATATAGAGAGGAAATTTGCTTTCAGTCACTAAGGACCCCTTAGCTCTATATTTTCTTTCCCTAGCATCTCCAAGTGTGTGTTTGTCTTGTGTCTTTTTGGTTGCCTAGTTCAGTCATGAGAGCCAATTACTGCTGGGTCCAAGTGTACTTTGACCATTTTCTATGCTGTGTCCTGTAGGAAACTTTTTTTTCACGTCTTCTTGCTCAAAGAAATAATAATAATTTTAAAAAATCAGCTTCCTCCTTTTAACTCTGAGGAATTTTTACCCCATGTGCTACAGAACTGATCGGTTAGACTCAGTTGAGGTGCCCTGCTTTTGGAGACACTCTTTTTTCCTTATGAATGATTTCTTTTCCTGAAATTGTCTTGGCCCAGGCCTCATAGCAAGTCAGATGGATCTGTGTCCTTGTTACACTAATGTCTTTTAAAACCTGTACCTCTGCACTTCTAATGCATTCATTCTGCCACTTCTTTTAAACTTTCAATTTCCTTCCTTTGATCTAACATCACAGTATGAATTACACTGAGTGTCTTACCATCTTTATTGTACTAATTTCATTACACTGTGGTACTGTATTGTGGTTTACTGGCCTAACATGAATATATAAGTTTTAAAAAAATGTCCCTACAGGACCCAAGGTATTATTTCCAGGTTTAGAATATTCTTATTAAACTGTTCTGCTATCATTATGGCTTCTTTTCTGCCTGCATTGTAATAAAAATTAGTTGAAGTGTGCTTTGACTAGGAAGCTGGTCTGTGATTGTTAAGCTCATAATTTGTTGCCTGCAGAGAAACAGGGAACCTGGTGCTGACTATCCTGGGGAGCAGAGTCCCAGACAGGAAAGGGTAAAGAGCATGAACAAATGGCATGGATGCTGATGACACAAGGCTGTGGTGGATGTGTGCAATACAGAGAGCAAACTTACTGGATAGTGAAACACACATCCTAATGCTGCTGTTAACACGCTGGAACTAAGAGTCAATAAGGAGTGATTATTTCTGTGTGATATCCACATTAATGCATAACAAGCCTTCATCAATAGTTTGCTATATGCTTTTATTTTGCTGTAGATCTAGCAGGTTTTTTTCTCTTACACCTCTAAGTATGCTGTGGCTGTAGCAGAACAAAAAGAGTTATGTTTTGTGCTAATTCATGTGAACATGGTTGCATTGTTTTCACTGCTTGCTTTCTGGATGGTTAAACAACTGGCATTTCATCCTGCCTCCTACAGGCTAAAGTAAAAGGAAAAATGATGAGCCATTATTTAGTATAGAGATTTTGAAGCCTTCTTAACAAGGAAATATTCAACAATTTGTCTGAATGGCTCCGTACTATATAGAAGAACAGGAAAAGGAAGATAGGCACTCAAAAGAATTGGTTGATTTGAATTCATATTGACAGATCAATTGACATTCTAGAAAAGGCTTTGAATGAATTAAGTCATAAGTGGTAGCCAACTATAAAACCATTTCAACTTTCAGAATGTGTTCTGACAGAAGTCTCTTGTGGGCCGAATGTTTTCTGACAGGCAGTAGAAAATGAATAAGCATGTGTCTGCAGTGACACAGAAGCCCACAGCTTTATAATAGGCTCTATTTTTAGTGAAAATGGTCTAGTAGGAAGGAGTAGGTGGAACAAAAAGCAGCCAGAAGTTAAGAGTATTACTAATGCATCTGAATGGGAAAAGTGTTTCTTGTAAACTGGGTGGTGCTTTGGAGGACAGGTAGCAATACATTGCAACACCCTGGCTTTCCTGACAGATCAAACCTGAGGTTTCTTCATTCACATGTTTGTAGTTCCTGGTTCATTTATTTTTGAACCCTACAGACAAATTACCGAAAGCAGTGTGATATTGCAAATTGCAAGCAGACCACAAGCCAGGTCTTTTTTCCATGTCACTAAGTGCACCACATAACAGTTGGAGATTGATATGAAGAACCAGAATAGCAGAGGTGTCAAATACTGTGCCTGGGTTGCGTTGGCATAACATCACAGTAAGAACAAGTAGGATGGTGAAGTTGCAGAAGTAAAACTGGCAGCTTCTGTTGTAATTTGATTTTGTTATGCTTTGCTTCAACCAGTCAGACTCATTAAACATCATGTCTTTGATAAGTACACTGTAAGTAACAGCATCTTTAAGGAAGCTTACACATTCTTTACGAGAACTGAAGTATGTTACCCTAAAAACATGTGTTTCTGTGCACAAAATCTGAGAAACACAAGTATGTACAGGTTTAGATATGTATAGGAAATCCTTTAGAACTGAGAACTGTGGTGAAATAGGTTGGCAAATAAGCTCCTTTGTCCCTGATAAATCCATGTGGGGTTGGTTGGGTTTTTTTGTGGGGTTTTGTTTTTTGGTTGTTTTGTTTTGGTTTTTTTGGATGGTAATGCCAGAGAAAGAGGCCACTTGCTTGCTTGGTTTTGGCTGCAGCACTCCTAGATGGGAGAGTTGTGAATAAGGACTAATTCAACTGTTTTTCTGGCTGGCCTTAAGGGTCAAAACTTAGCACTTCATTAAAACAGTAGACATGGGAATAAAAGCAGTATTCACATAGGAGCTCCTCTTACTGTTCTGCATGTGAATTTCATACCTTTTGTCTGGCATTTCGGTGTCTGTTCCTTTTGGGGCTTTTTCTGATTTATTTACTTGCTCCTTCCTCATCTCACAGAAATCTCCTCGTTTATTTTCTGATGACCAAGTGCCTGAGATTGTTGAGCAAAGGGCATGTCAGCTAGCAGCCCTCCGGGAGTCCCGACCTGCAGTGAGGCATCAGGTGACTACAGCCCTGCCTATCTGGTGTCCTTTATCCATGTGGGATTCTGGGTACCTGTAACATCTGGGGTCAGAGGGACAGAAAAATTCACCAAAATATGATGACCCTTACTGTACGTCTTGTGGTTAAAAAGACACAGCCAAGTCTTTTTTACGTAGCAATTTTATCCTACTTGCCAGTTCTTAATTGTCTCCTTGTTTAATGAATGACAGTGTTTCTGTTTCTCAAAACACAATATAAGCAATAAGGTAAAAAACATCCTCCAAGCTTCAAGAGTATATGTGGAAAATCAGCAGGACTCCAGATCAAATAATCTCACAGTGGTCGTTTACCAGTCAGTTGCTTACAAATTTTATTTGCTTCTGGAAGTAAGAACATGTGCATTTTCCAAGCATAATTCCTGGCTCTGAAGTACTACTTTTGTGTCCATGCTTCCTGCATCCTTATTTCCAATGGTAGAGTTGGCAGCTTCTGCAGAGTTTCTTTGATTCCAGTGTACACGTTTGGTTTGGGTTTGTGCTTAATTTTCTCTCCAGTGTGTCATCTTTGGCATATGGGAGTGTGCCAGTTTGAACAGTGGTTCTTTAGTTTCTAGTTTTTGGTTACCTTCAACAGTATTTGGCAAACTGGAGAGTGCTTTTGGAAAACACCATCTACACATGTCATTTTTTTTCATAACTTACTGTTTTGACTTAACCATCCAAAATCAAGCTGTATCATTGAGCTGGAATATAAACAGTCCCAGAACTTTTGCTGGTGGGCATCACTTTTCCAAGCCATGCCAAACAAATTTATAACATCTGGGTCACTTTTCATTGCTGTTCTTTGGGGATGCCATCCTTGCTGATGATTAAAGTTGGTGAAGCTGTTCTGGAGGAAGAAAGAATGAACCTTTGGCTAGGTTCCTCTTTGAGATAGGATTTGTGGACACAGAAGAAACTATGAAAGACTAAGAAGACTAGTTTAAACATTCACACCTATTTGCTAATGGGTGACACAACTGAAGACCTCAAGCATGATCCAAGGTCAGCATGCTCATGTGAATTTTCTTACTCAGTTGAAAAGATGATTCAGAAATGAACATCTAGACCAGAACATCTTGCTCCTACCTTTTGGGTTGCTCTTTAGCACTTTTAAGCTCCTTTTGAGGGTGGAAAAGATTAACAGCATTGCAATGCAAAGATAAAAATTATTTTTGAGACTGTCTAATTTCTATATGTTACAGTATTAAGGAAGAAAGAAAATAGAGAGGAGACAGAGAACACAAAGTAGAGGAAAGGATAAAGAGTGTAGGGCAGAGAGGAAAAAGAGGAAACAGATGTTGAAACACTGCAAGGCAATGATGGATTATGATGTGGGATTTAAGGGAACAAAACAAGAAAAACGGATTAGTGAGAGAAAGAAGGCTTAGCAAAGTAAGACATTTTCAGAAAAGAAATTTAATTAAATGTTGATGATCTTAAGTACAGAAAAATTATGTATAAACCGTTCTATTTAAATTGGGGAAATTGTGAAAGCCAAGCTATATTGCATTTTTCTAGTACACTTTAACTTGAGGCCAACCTATTCTAAGTGGCTAGAAATAGTTATTTTTGTGGGTCATGCAGCTACATGACACTTATTTTTCCTTTTTATAACTAAAAACATAGGAGTCAAATATTTGAAATTTGCATAATTTTTCTTTCCAGACTATAATTTCTTGGAACGCACTGTTTCTACCAGTCCTATTTGTCTGATACTTCCAGCTATTGTTTTTTTTCCTATTTATGTGAAGTACTTCTGGGAGATAGATGTAATGAGCCATAGAGAGAATGAGAGGGGTGTACTGGAAGACCAAATTTTGGGTGGTTCTGTGAGGAACCAGTTTCAGAAGGATGCAAATTCTCAGTTTGGGACTTATTGTTTGCCATTTGATAAGCAAGAATGACAGTGTGATTTACATTGTTTCATTCTTTTTAGTGTGATGTTTCCAATCTGCTTACAGTAAATTTTAGGTGGGAAATTTGCTGCTCATTACTGGCATTGCATACACATTAATTTCTTTCTCTTCCACCCCCCAAGGAGAGCAGGCTTTTGGTTTATATACTTAAAATATAGAAGAGGTCTCACATGGTCTGAAATACAGTCTTGGCCCAGTAATACAGAAGATACAGGAGGAATAGAGGAAATTGATTTGGGATCTTTGTCAGTGGTTTAGTTGGTTGGGTTGCAGGAGGTTGGACATCTGTAGAAGTAGGTAACTTCTTCCAAATGGTCCTAAATAACTTAAAAACTAATAAAGAGCAAATTAAGAATACCTTACTCTGCCTCACTAGGGAGAAGGTGAAGATGCACTGGACATTTTTCTCCACGTTTTCCTACAAGAGTCTTTAAAAATTTTTTTTGATAGTGGACAGAAGAGCCTAAGTTGTGAGTTTTTTGTTTTTTGTTTTTTTTTTCTCTACTCTCTTCCCTTTGTAGCCATATATGATTGTTTTGATTTATTTTTTTTTTTTTTAGCCTGAGACTGAACCGTCTCGCCGATTCTTTGTTGACCAGTGGGAGCTTTCCCTTAGCCTCCGTTCTTCTAATCGCCCTTCTTCACCCTCATCTGACTCTCTTCGACAGGTAGCATTCACCTGAGCATTGCAAGGTGCACTCAGCTGTGTTCGCTTGCTGCACCCTGGTCCCACCAGCCAAGGACACACCACAAGAGATGGCTAGGCTTGCAATGCTTTACCTGCAGAATGCAATGTCTGTGCATATTCATGCACACATGAGAAACCAGGGGCAACCTGTGGCATAGCTTGATTATTGTTAACCAGAAAGCAGTTTGAAACTAAATATATTTAATATTTGGTGTAAATGAAAAGCTTGTGGTACATCTCAATCTCAAATCAATTTTTCTGAGCGCTGATAGTCCTTCTGGCTTTGCAGTAAAGCCTTCTTGTTTTGCTTGCTGCTTTTGTTGAAATCTTAGCCAAACTACAGAATGTGTTGTGGATATATACTTAATGGACAGTGTGAAATAAAAAGTACTTTGGCTGTCTAAAAAAATCACTTGAGAATTTGAACTAGTTGCAGTTGTTATACGTAAACAGCAGTAACTTGATTTTACCTAAGCTGGAGTGGGTTCTTTGCCTGCTTTTGAAAACGTTGCAGAGTCTTGTGTATCTTGAAAGCTTTTGCCCATGGAAGGAAAGATAAAATGCTTCATTTAAGATGCAGTATTAGACCATATGTGATGTGTAGGACGAAAGCAAGACAAATCAGAAACACAGAACCTCAAATAAAAAATTCAACAACTAAATTTCCCACACCAAATAGTCCAAGGTATTGTGAGTTCAGATTAACATGATGACTTTTCAAGCATGGAACTTCATATGTGCTGGTAGAAATTTAAAGATCCTGAAGCATCTGCAATTAAGGTTGGATGAAAGTTTCAAATCAAAACTTTTTCAGTGGAAAACTGGTTCAGCTCAAAGTCAGTTTTTCCCATGGAAAAGCTTGAACTGTTTTTAAAGAAAACTTAGAACCTCAAAGATTAGAGGAAAATGGAAAACACTTGGCCAAAACATTATGATTGCCAGTTAAAGATCAATGCTGAAGAAAATTTTTCCAGTGGGATGTAATTTTAATTGTAATATTTGATAAGATGTGATACATGAAATGTAACTCTGCACATCTGTGTGTGCACAAACTAGCTGAGGAAGAATATGGAACTTGAAAAGTTTTGAAAGACAAATAATGTGTTATTTCTTGTGTGTGTGTATATATATATATATATATATAAAAAAATAAATACTGCAAGTGCTCTGATATTTGGCGTGTAACTGGTAGACATGTAGAAGTTCTTTCTGGGTAGAAATAAACCCTCATTACTGCAGTGGCACAGAGTTTAAGAAATTAGGATTTAAGTTATAGCAGCAGTAGTCTCTGATGGCTGAGCACTCCATTTTCAAAATTGTTTTCCCCAAAGTAGTACCCATTCTATGGTGAATTTCAGTTTTTGTGATGCTACCTGCTGTTCTGATGTCTGAACATGTGAAGGTCTTAAACATTCCTAAAAGGCTGATAACCACGCATGCAAAATTTATGCTGTGTTGTGGGAAGTAACTTGTGTGCTTCAAACAAGTTTCGCTATAAGAGTTAAGGGGGTTTTGAGATACAGCTTTTAGACCTTTCCTTCAGTAAACTGTTATCCTTGGTAGTTTACACTTGTCAGCAGCTGGAGTGTCTTTCTGATGATCCTTCATTTGCTGAGGAGACTCCTCATAGAAACAGTCATAATGCTTCTTAGTCTGAAAAGGGAAATTGCTTGGCGTGCTCCTTGCTGCTCTGAGTCAAATACATGGCATTTGCAGTGTGATTGAGCTAATATGGATATAACCACATAATTTTCTTAACCATGTAATTATTGCCAGAGGTTGTAAGTATTTCCTGTGAAAAACATTTCCTCTGCTCCTGCAGTGACTGAACTTGGCTTGCAAACACTCATTTTGTACCATCTAAGGTAGCAGCCAACCTGCCTAGATTTCTCAAAATACTGGAGGGTTTTTAGATATCCAGAGTTATGGAGTAAGTCAATAGCCATGATGGAGAAAAACCTAGCCATGCATTGCGTAAGGCTCTTACATCTTTTTCCATACAAACCTTTCTGTATTTTTAGCAATGGAAGAATTCATATTTTTGAATCACTGTTTGTTCCTTAGTTAAGGATTTTTCCCTGCTCTATGAATGCTCTGTAAATGAATTCTTTCCAGTTGCTAAGCATATAATGCTGTTGTGATCAGCACGTTGCATTAGACTATGTAACATGTTTTCTAGAAAATCTTTGTTTCTGATGCCAGTTTTACTTGGAACTTAAAACCTTAACCTATATTTGGGCTTGTCTTTGAGAAGTGTCTATGCTCAGGTTTCCAGGTGCAAAATACCCCGCAAGAGAAGATAAGATCTGCTTTCTTCATCATCACAGTATTTCTAGAGCACTTAGAGAATGCAAAATGCAAGCCTCCTTTTCCATTCTTACAGTTGATCCTGCACTGTACTGGTGATTTCTGATGACGCTAGCTTTGCTATTACACTTGTCACTTCATATTGTCCACTGTCTTGGCATGATTTGACCTCTCTGCACTTTTTCACCATCTAACCTATTATCATTTTAGTCATTTTTAAAATTTGATTTTTTTTTCTTTTCTCACTTCACTATTGTTTGATTCCCTCCATCTGGTAGAAGTATATAAAGATGTACACAGGCGGAGTGAGCTCATTGGCTGAGCAGATAGCCAATCAGCTTCAAAGGAAAGAGCAACCCAAAACCCTTCTAGACAAGAAGGAACTGGTAAGACAATGTACAGAAGATGATGCATGTTTGTCATTAGATGTACTGTAGATCTGAAGTGTTGTGAGTGTCCAGTTGTTAATACCACTGATGGAATCTGTCATAGCTTTGTGAAAGACTTAATTTCCCTTTCTCTATCCACCCTCACTCTTGTCCTGTTCTTGTCTTGTTCTTGCAAACTGTTGTAATCTAATCTCAGTACCCAAGGATTGTGCATAAACAGTTGAGAAAACCGCCTATCATATTTATGAAGATGTGTTTGATCCACTGGGGCTACTTCTGCATTATTATTTTCTGGAGGAGACACTGATTTTGATAATGTAGGTCTAAGAATTGCTGTTTGAGGGATTTCTAATGGTTTTGGCTTTCCATCATATGCCTCCTTCAGTCATTTATTTCAAGGTCATCATTAATAGTACTGGTGTCCACTCTTCCATCCAGAGCTTATTTTATTCCTGGCATATGTAGGCATGGCACCCTAGGACCTTCTTCCCTGGACGGTAAGGTTAGTTTTTGGTGTCCTGGTTAAAACTGTGAACTGTGTTCAAGAAGTGCAGCATCCACATGTGAAAGAACTGCAGCATCAGATGCTCCTGTATCTGCATAAATGAAGAGAAAATATAACCATGTAATCTTGGTGAGGCTGGACACACATAAATGTAGCCCTGCCTGTTTGTGTCTAGGGCTCGCTCAAAAAGGAGTTCCCTCAAAACCTGGGAGGCAGTGATGTCTGTTACTTCTGCTGCAAGCGAGTCTATGTGATGGAAAGGCTGAGTGCTGAAGGCAAGTTCTTCCATCGCAGTTGCTTCAAGTGCGAATACTGTGCAACGACTCTGCGCTTGTCATCTTATGCCTATGATATTGAAGATGGTAAGAGAAATTACCTTTTTGTCATAATCCTCTTAACTGTCCTGGAAGTCTGTCTAGTGATTTCAGGTCTTTCTTTGCTTAAGAATTATTTGTTGAGTTAGGGAAAAGAGTTTTCCAACTCACTGAGGCAAAGATGAAGTAAAAATTGCAATCTGATATGCCACTCCAGAATATTCCACTGCAGATTGAAATGTTATAAAATTGATAGGTATATGCTCCATGTAACTAGGAAGAATCTTTCTACACATACTGGGTAGAATAATAGCCATGGAAACAACATCTAAACTTAAGGGGCAAGAAGAACCAAAATTATGTATTGATGATGCATTATATAATGACTTCAAGTAATGGGTTTACTTGGTCACAAAACGTTGAAGAAACTTAGAATCATCAAACCAGTTTCCCAGTAAGAAATAGAAAATCCATTATTACTTGGCTGGAAGGTCAGAAGACTTGGCACGTGAATTTAAAAGGGCCAATGATAATTTTGAAATCAACATATAAAAGTAACATCTTCATCCATAGTCAAAGTTGGGAAAAAGCATTTTTTGATCATTACTGTTATTTTGGGCATTCGTACATAACTGAATATCTGACTATTTGTTTAGCAATAACAGACTGAGCTCCTCTGTCAGCTGTATGGGCTGAAACAGGTATTGCCACCAGATTTAGTGATTCCCTCTGCAAGCAAGCTTATGTATGCAGTTACAGCCAGATAGATCTCAACGAAGCAAACACAAAGCTCAGAATTTCAGCACACTTTAAGCATTGATTCTGAAATGATATTACATGCCTGACAGTTGTGTATGAAGCACATATAGTCAAAAAGAAATATATGGTATTGTATCTAATCTAATAATTGTAAAAAATTAGTTTATATTTCATTCTGGGTTTTCTCTGAGAGAAAAAACCCTAAAGCTATACATGCATTGTGCTATTCATCTAGCTGTTTGTACTGATGAGCATTCTGCAGTCAGTGTCTGGATTTAGCCTTCAAAGTCTTAAGAATTTCTATGTAAGAGCTTTTCTGTTGTTGCTCTTTTCAGACAATTGAGAGAGCAAAAATCTTTTTTGGAAAGAGTAAATATTAATAAATGTGTGCTTAAGCAGAGACTTATAGTGTTTGTCACTTTTCCATCATAAAACACAGCATTGTGCAAATACCAGCCCAGAGAAACTAGAGGAAGGGGCAAAGCTCAGAATATAGGTTTGCCATGCATTAGCAAAGTTGTAGGAATAGGATAGCAGTAGGAATGCTATGGGTTGCATATATCAAGCAGGATACACTGGCAAAGGTACACTGGAAGATAATTATGTGCCATCAATTTGCTGCTATTATTATTACTTGTATTATGGTATTACTAGCTCTGCTTTAGCTTCCTGACAGTGTTCAGATACTGGTGAAAATCCGTCTACATTTCTGGGGTGTTACTAAATCAGTAGTATCACAAAAGGTCTTAATTGTGAAAATGAATCATTGGTTGATTGTCTTTTCCACAAGTAGCCACTGTGCGTTTTTAGAGATGGTTCTTTGGGAGTTAACACTGTCCTCTCCCACTTTCCTCTGCTGGTTGCATTCATTCTTCCTTTTTCCAAAAGTGCTTCTGCCAGCTTTTCATGTGATGATTTCTTTGTTCCTCACACACTGCCGCATTGTTAGCATGTGATACCACACAAGCCTCACAGCTTTGCTTTGGTGTTTGATAGGATTTTGAGCTAAATGGCTGTCAGACACCCAATGGAAACGGGGAGAGAGGAGGGCTGAAGTTAAAACTTCAGATAGTGTTTGCCTCCATGTATAGTGAAAAAACTAGAGGGAGCAACGGGAATGGGAGCAGAAAATAAGTTGCAGTGAGATGGACATTTATATTGTGCTAAACTGCTGTGTTTTCATTGTTGACCATCATTCATGTTTTATCTGCAGGTAAATTCTACTGTAAGCCTCACTACTGTTACCGTCTCTCTGGTTATGCTCAAAGGAAGAGGCCGGCAGTGGGTCCTCTGTCAGGAAAGGTAAGTCATTTTCATCTAACATGTCATGTGTTAGTATGTTTTGATTCGTAACATTGAAAAAGTAACTATGCTGGGTTTTTTTTCAGAAAGTAGAAAAATCCAGAGTGCATAGAGTTGCTTTTTTATGTCATGAGAGCTTGTAGTTCTATAAATTTTATTTAAAAGCTGTTCCTTTAATTACTACTTCTCTTTTCATGGTTCTTATTATAAAATAATGTACTGTCCCATTCAGCACAGGATTTTGATTTGTTTTCTTGTCAGCTGAAATTCATATTCAGTCCATGCAGAAACTAAATGGTGTTACTAGTTTTGCTTTTGCTTTGTTTCTCCACGTTTTTTCTTAAGCAAAACAAGTTATTTCAATTTCCTTTGAAACATGAAGTTCTAGCCCACTTGCATAAGCTATGAAGAAGATCTGCCTTAATTTCTTAGTTTTCTGTGTGTTAATGGGAACCTGTGTGAAAAGAAAGGATATCCCTTTTCCTATGCTATCATAATGAAAGCATTTGTGCTTTACATTTAGGATCAAGACACACTGTGTAATACAGAAGTCTCCTAGCTTTTCTCATTACACTCCAAGGCACTTAATTTGTCTCCTCAACCCTCTTTTCAGAATTTTTGCATACTCTGTCTAAGCAAAAACTACATGCTAGTCTCTTAAGTTCTGTTAAGCTTGCATGCTACAAACTGCCCTTCCCCCTTAAATTGTATTTTCCTTCGTGGTAGTGATGGTGCTTGTCTGTTTCTCAGGTTTCCTTAGTACAAGCTGAAGTTGTACTCCTTTTTGGAAGGATAAGGGATCCATCCCATACTTCCTGCCAAAAATAAAGACTAAAAATTGTAGTTGTTTTATTTCCCAGATGAGTAGACTTCAGAGGCCTTAGTGCTTTAGCTTTCTTGGATATCCAGCTTGTTTTTCAGAACTTTAATAAAGACATAAATTGAGAAGGAACATACTTGGTTCAGACCTTGCCTTGTATGATGATTAAGGGGTATCTTAGCTGTGAGAGGGATGTCTTCCTAGTTCAACATATTCAGTACATATAGCCTCACATGAGAAAAAAGAGGCTTTTTCAATTTTAATATGAGTTTAATCTCCCCCACATTCTTGCAGGACACCAAAGGACTGCTACAGGACACCATGGCAAGTGATGGAAGTGGACGGGCAAATACCATCTCCGCCTCAGCAGAGAGAGCCCCAGGTAGCTCCGCTTCCTTCTTTAGCAGGGTGGTGCAGTACTCTCTCGGCCTCTTTGGCAGAGTTAGGGTGGCAAGCCAGCGCCTGCAAAGCACAGTTTCCTCGATTGGGCACCAGGTAGCCCAGAACCCTTTGGACTCCTTTTTCATGTGTCAGCTGATGGCTTTTGGGGTTCCCTTTCTCTACGTCCAGTCAGAAGTTCTTGTGCAGATCCTAGGGGAATTCTGTGGGCAGCTGGCTGACCAGTAAGAATTAATGTGACCCAACTTTATGAGCTGTATAACTTGTGTGATTTTTTTGAGGGTGTCATGTGAATTTTGTGCATTATGTGTAAGTCTCAATATATTATTTTGCACTGTGGCTTTGGGGCCTAGATGTTCTCAGTCCTTTCAAGGACATTACCTGAAAGAATTCCAGGAAAACACAGATGCTCAGTTGAAGGTCTCCTCTGAGTGGGCCCAGATAAAGAGCCCTGTAATGTATGGAGCTCGGTGTTTTTGAAGTTAAAAGTTCTTTGGATGCACTGGAGTATCTCACAAACTGGATTTCTGTGTTTGCCTGAATTTTGGGTGTGGTTTCTTGTTCTCTCAATCTTCTCTTCATTAATCTGGTACTTGAATGGGAAAGATCCCATTATCTCTGGATTGTGTCTCCTTTGGAATTCCGGGTGTCTGACAGCTAATGGGATTGGATTCCTTAAACCCCTTGAATTTCATGATGCTGGCAGGTCATGATGTTCTTCCTTCACTGCCAGAATCTGTGCTGCTCCTGGACATGGCTTTGGGAATGGGGTGGTGAATGTGTGTGTCTTACTGTGAAGTAGTTTTGCCTTTTAACTTGAAATTCTAATTCCTTCTAACATGGGAGAAGTGTCTGTGCTACAAATGCTCGTTTGCCCAGCCCCTAAGTGCTCATTTAGCAATGTCAGGAAAAGGAAGAAATTTGATTTCTAGTATTTGTTCCAGAACACTATGGATAAACTAAATCAGCTGCTTTTAGAGAGAACATACTTAGAGCAGCACTTTGAGAAAAGAATGTTTTCACAGTGCCAGTTGAGAAAAGACCTTAACAACATGCAGGCAAATAAAAAACGTGCTTTTGTTTTACTTTATGTATTATACTTACAAGTGTTTCAAGATTGTAACTGCAATCTGACAAATTTATTCTTGGTCTGTGCAGCTGATTCTTGAAGTGAAGTTTAGTTCGACAGTTTCCTCTTTTTGTTTGTGTGGAATTTCCTTATGGCAAAATGGAGGAAAGGGAAAAGGTATGGAAGAATGACATTTGCAAAATGCTGTGGACAGGTTAACTGCAGCATTTTTTGTACCACCAAATAGACTTAAGAGTGAAGAGTTTTGTTTGTTTGGGGTTTTTTTAAGCTGTGGCATATTCTTTAAGATGAATGGAAAAATATTTCTTGGAGCAGAGGGCATCTGATATGAGAATAAGGTGGTTTATGGAGTGAAGCTATTGGTGATGAGAAGTGGAAGAAGGAGAATTTAGCTATATATCTCAATTAGTTTATCAAAGCAATTGCTGGCAGAAAGTCTCTTTCCTCTGATTTAGTCCTTCCAACTGATAAAATTTAATTACTCAGTTTTAGAAATGAGCATTCAGTAAATAGCATCTAAGTGATCACTAAGTAGAGCAAACAATAGGGCATGGTTTGCTATAAACTTCTATAAATCAGATATAAATGAAATATAAATCAGATGTTCCCATCTCTCATGTAACGGTAGCACAATCCTGTAACAGAACTGTAGTACTTCCAGAGGAGTAAAAAACAGACACTGTTTTATCAAATGGCAGAACTTGAAATTTAGCACTTCTGTTTGCTTTCTGCTTTTCTAAAGCTGTGTATAACTGTAGAATAATTTAAATTTAAAGCTTTGTCTCTTGCAGTGTCCAGAGTACATTAATACATACTCAGTTTAGCTGTGTTAAGCTAGGTCATCTTTAAGGCAGTGTGTTGTGGTGCATTCTTGTGTGTGCATGACAGAAATACATTTAACTGTAGAAGAGTGAGCAGTGCCTCTACCACTCGCTCTTTAGGGGCATTTCTTTTTGCCATTAGTGGCTGAGATTGTGTTTTCTTTGTACATCATAAAACTACTGGTTTAACAATGGTTAAAAAGCAGGAAGAGGCTAATTACAAGCTACTTTAAAAGCAAGCCACAGTGTCATTAAAGGCAGGTCAGTCTTCTGTTAGTGTAACAGTCATGTCCTGTTGGTACCTGCCTTTAGCTCCTGTTCTTGCTGGGTAGGTAGGGCAGGAAATCTGTGAGGTGTTTATAATTATATATGGTTTGAGAAACCAAAGCAAACCCTGCTGAATTTCCAAGCTTGCTTATACAGTGGAAGAATAGGATATTATTCCTGAATAATCAAAAGGAGTTGATGAGATTACATCTCAGTATAACTCCTGACTTTGAAGTACCTGTGTATGTACTTTCTTGCAATTTATTAAATTGTCTAAGAGACTAGACATTCTGCTTTCACCTCAGAGCAGACAAATGTGTTGAGCAAAAGCCTATCTGAATACAGAGATAGAGGCAGAGCTCTGTTTTCAAAGGCTCCACTTCACCCATGTGGTAGAGTCATCTAATATAGGTCATGCACCTCAAAGTATTTGACCTCCCTTAAGGCAAGTGTCACTAAATGAAATTTGGCAATAGCAGTTTCAGACCCTGAGGTTTGAGCCAGTCATCAGTAGAGGTAGATCTTGATGTGGAGTGTAAGTTGCCTCTAAAATGATTAAAAAAAAAAACCAAACAAAAAAAACATGCACGTTTGATATTTAATGGAGATGAAAAGATAGCTTAGAAGGCAAAAGTGTACAGCAGAAACATCAATTAAAGAACATACAAGATGAAAAACCAGCTGTTTTTTAAATTTTATACCTCTGAGTTAAATTCAGCTCTGAGTTAGCGAAAGTGCTTGTTCAGTGAGCTTGATGGTGACTCATGCAAGGCCTGCTTTTTAGTTGCCATGGAATCCCAAATGGATGTAAATTGCATGGTTTCTCTCCCTGCACTCACTGCCTCTTCTGCTGTACCACCAAATTTGGCCTCTTCTTTTTTTAGCCAACTTAATGCTTAAAATATATTCAATCACAAAATAATATTCAGCAGGTTTGGTCAGCTGAGCTAAGATTGGTCACAACAAGCACTTTTCCGTGCTGTGTTACTAACCTGATTGGCATGTATTAACTTTGCTAAAGATGTCAGTCCCTCACTGGGTGGCCACAGTCTCAGCTAGCATTTAATGTGTTTTGTCTGTCCTTTGTATTGTAACTACCATAGTTGCAGGGCGCAAACTGTGATAAGCAAGTTGAGAGTTTTTTTTAACAGTCAACTAGAATCACGGTCTGGTTTTTGCCTGTTTGTCAGACAATCTGCATGTTATTTTATGTGGTGGTTACAAGAGATGTTCCCAGGGAGGTTATGGTCAAACTGGCTCTTGCAGTACAGTATCAACCCTTCAGTCTGGGAAGTGGCAACAAGCTTTTGAGTGATGGATGCCGTTCTCTCTGGGGAAGGGAAGTTGGGGAATGCTGTTACTGTGCTTTTGGTTCTGCTGAACTGTGGCATGCTTATTGTAGATTCTGTAACCTTTCTCTGTACCCTGTTTGCCTGTTCTTCCTCTATCTTTTGCATTTGCCTTTGTGCCAAAATTGCTGCTATTGCCAAGAGAAAAACCCCACACTTTTCAACTGTCTCTCCCTTTAATAATCTGTAACTGCTGTGTCTTGGATTTTTTTAATATTATTTACAGTACTTTATATGATTTTAATGTGCTTTTAGTGCAAATGCTCTTCTTCTGTTTGTTCTAAAGGTCTGTAAGAACATATTTCTGAACTTTCAGCTCTTTCTTGACAGATGGACTTGGAACAGTCTTTACCCCTATCAGCTTTATGATATGTTCCTTGGGGTGACTTTAGCTGGTGATGTTTTGTTGTGAGATGTTTTCCATTTCAGGCTTGTGTTCTGACAGCAATACATTTCTGTCCCTATCAGCAATAGGGAGTTCATAAAGGAAAGACCTGCTAGGTGAACTCTTACTTCAAAAGATACAGCAAGTCATAAGATCTTTGCAGTAGTTACTTCACCTGTGAGAGATTTAAAAAGCCAAATATAAGCCATAGTATACAAAACTGAAAAATGCAATATGAAGTAGAGGCACTACGTCTCCTGCTTTAAAATAGAAGAAAAATATATAGTGTATAAGATATAGATATGCAATATGAAAAGTTAAAAATCTTCCTATGGATGTGCCTTAAGTGTTTTCAGGGAGCAGTGTTCTGAACAGAGCCCTTCCCAGTAGACTCTTAAACAACTAATATGTTGTATATAGCAAGCAAAGCTGGACTTCACATGAGGATGTTCTTTTGCTGTCTAGAGAGCTAGAAAAGGGTGGCTGCTTCCTGTAAATAGCATGCCTTTAAAGTAAATTATCTGAGCCACATTTTCAAAACTGTCTGTATAGTTTTAATGAATATTTAGGAATGCATCCAATATCACTTGCACACAATTATACTTCTGTGTCTAATGAAGTACAAATACATTTTATATATATTTCTGTATAGAAATAGGCTTCTTGTTCAAAAAGATTGCCTCTTTGGTTCTGCATACACTGAATATGCCTTACTTGTGAAAGTGATTCAGCTTGAAGCAATACTGTTTACTTGTGCAAACAAACATATCCTCATTAAATCCTCCACTTAGTCACTTATTTTCATTATTATTCTCATTTGGTTTTTGTTCTTGTTTTCATTTGGTCTGCTTTAAATATTAAATTATAAAGAGAGCAGCAAAGTAATTCTGTGACATAGTGTTCTATTTGTGGTGCCTTAATTTTAAACCACTGTGCATTTACAAACACATCCATATCCATACCCCCACCCCCCCAAAAAAAAAAAAAAAAAAAAAGAGAGAGAGAGGGGAAAAAAAGTACATCCATATTTCAGGATGCACCACAAACTGGGAGGAAAGATAATTTCTCTAC